GTACGTTGTCTTCCATCACTTCCGCTCCCTAGGATGGGTAGTTCGGCCTGGCGTCAAGTTCGCCGTCGATTACTTACTCTACATCCGAGGGCCTGCCTTCACACACGCAGAGTTTGCAATCATGATCATCCCTTCTTACTCGGCTCCCTACTGGAATGAGCAAGCAGATGGTCAAAGCCAAGTCAGAGCTGCGGAAAAGGAGCGCCGGGATTGGTGGTGGTTCCACCGGGTGAACCGAGTGCAAACACAGGTCATGAAGACACTGATGCTTGTCTACGTTGAGGTACCAGAACCGTGGGATACAAGCTGTGTGGAGCTTGACGGGTTCAGGCTCGACATCGGCAGTGTTCTGAAGAAGTACACAGTTCGAGAATTCGTCTTCAAAAGGTGGAGTCCGAGCCGAAACAGAGATTAGGTTATGCTCCCACGAAATCCGACCCGAAACGGGATGAAGTTGCCCTAGTTACGAGAAACGATAAGACAAAAATGTGAAGCATGAACCTTAATTTATATCAAGTCCATCTCGTACCTGTCAAGCACGACGTTGTCAGAAGCTGTGCTACACCTACACTACCTAAGTCACATAATTATCTGCTGCAGCAATGGAGGACATGACGTCGCATCTATAATGCATACATGAACAGCCCATGTAGCCTAGTGAGCCCATCACATTTGATAATCTTATAGGTCGGAGCAGAGCAAAATGTCGGTAAAATTAGCCATCGAGAACTATCTTGCAAAGCCATTTGTCTCCAATCTAACAAACTCCGGCGCAGCTTTCTTCACTCCAAACTTCTGACTCAGGATTACAAACTGGCCCACAAGTATCATCTGGCTCCACTTCGGCCGGTCGCCATCGTATATCGCGTCGTGCAACAGATCCTTACACTTGTCCCACTCCAAAAACCCCAAAGCCTCCACATTTTCCTTCGTGAGCAGTTTCTCGAACAGCTTATGCACTGGCCCATCAGGCTTGTATTTCACTGGAGCAGAGAAAGGATGCTTCTTGCGTGCATATAGCTCAGTCGTGATGAATGGCTTCATGGCCTCCTTCAGGATCCACTTTTCGCTGAAGGTGCGAGTAGAAGGATCGTAATGCAGTTTTACTGATGGCGGAAGTTTCATGGCGTATTCTGTGAGGCGGTGGTCGAGGAATGGTTGACGTCCTTCGACACTGTGGGCCATCTCGCAACGGTCACCTAATACGGTAAGAAGACCGTTCGCAAGAGATGACTTCGTCCAGATGTACAGAGAAGTGTGAAGTGGGTGCCATTTGTTGGTCATCAGCTCTCGCGTGCGACCGTCGATGGCGTTCACGGCAGTGAGACGTTTGTCGGTAGTCCCAAATTCGCCGAATACCCAAGGAGCGAAGAGCGGATCTCGTAGAGATGCGGTTTGCGTGAAGCCGAGGAAAGAAGTGTTGTTCACTTGGGCACGGACTGCGGCCGAGGTCACGAGTTCCTTTGGACCTGAGGTGTCGGAGCCCTCTAGCCCCTTAAAAGTTGCTATGCGCTCTTCTTCAGGGAGACAGGAATTTGGCCATGCAAGATCGGGTTCGCGAACGAAATCGGTAAGTAACTCTCTGTAGCCGGCGAAGTGTTCATCTGATCCTTCTCCTGTAAGAACAACCTTGATACCTTCCTTACTGGTAAGCTTTGAAAGCAGGAATTTACCGACAGTCCCCAGATCAGTCACAGCTGTCTCGTTGTGCCAGACTGCGTTCTCGATGTTGGCTGCAAAATTCTCTTCGGTCATCTCGCAGTGGTGCATCTTGACTCCAAGCCAGTCCGCAGTACGACGCGCGATCGGCTCCTCGTCATGTTCTTCACCAATAAACTTAACACTGAAGCAGTTGATCCTTTCTGAAGCTGGAGCAGTACCAAGCTGAGCACCTTCCGTGTCCATAAGATGCTTCACCATTCCCGCTATTGCGCTGGAGTCGATGCCGCCACTGAGAAAGACACCAATCGGCACATCTGCACGGAGGCGGTCTCGTACGGCATCTAGGAGATGTTTCCGTACGCCTTGTATCATCTCGTCTTCACTCCTTGTTTCAAGCTCACGCTGACATGTGTTAGTAATGTTTGTAATGCACCTGCTATTGCACGTACCTTGTCTTTGAACTCGACATCCCAATACTTGTCTTGCGAAATGGTGCCGAAAGACCTACACAGCAAATAATGACCAGGCAGTATCTTGGAAACACTTTGGAAGATAGTTCTTCCATCGCACAACCAGCCCACGTCTTTGATGCTTTGCACGTCCCACTCGGGTTGCCATCCGAAAGGAAGGAATGCCTTCATTTCGGAAGCGACCTAGGAGGTGTATGTGAGTCTTTAGTATATGCGAACGGTACTTGATGACCATACCAGCAGTTTGCCATCTAGGACCGTGTAGTACATGGGCTTGATGGCATATCGATCGCATGCGGCGATAAAGATCTGAGCCTCGGAGTCGTATAAACATAGTGAGAACTCTCCGCGTAGATGCGACAGAAAGGATAGACCATGCTTCTTGTATAGCGCCAGTGCAATCTCGGAGTCTGACTGGCTCTTGAATTTGTAGCCCTCGCGACTGAGGCAATCTCGGATCTCTTGATAGCCATATAACTCGCCATTTACTACGGCATGGATAGTACTGCCTTCATCATGGAATGGCTGTTCACCTTCCGGGTTTAAGTCGACGATCGCTAGTCGGTTGTGGGCAAGAGCTAGGTGGTGAGCAAGTCAGTTGTGTGTCTGTGTCCGTTGCAGCTGCAGTAACTTCTCCACGTACCCACGCGACAATCTTCGCTAATCCAGTGGCCTTCTGCATCGGGCCCACGATGCTTGATATTATCCAGACTCTGGTCCAGTGTCTTGCTCAACTCCCCACGTTCCTTTGCTAATGGTCCATGACCCCGCAATGCAACCGCACAAGTGATGCCGCACATGATTACGCGATTCAAGAGATCCAAAAGAAGAGAGTGTGCAGCGCTTCCCCATATCTTTTCAACCGAACTTCGGCGATACCTCTAAACATGACGTAGATACTAAATTCGTAGCGGTGATTGTTCAATGATGTTCGATTGTTCCTGATAAGCCCGCATCGCTTGTTACTTGTTTGGGTGTTAGTGGGCGCCCCTGGATCGCCCAGATCGCGCGGCTCCTGGCGGGATCTTCGAGCTTCAACAAGCACAGCTTCAAGTCTTCCACACATTTTCAATTGTGTTATCGTGTTGTTTTCGCAAGGGTTGTCAAAGCCAACGTTCGTCATCATCCACTGGCAACCCTCGGATATAGCGACGGTAGTCCCAACCGTGGTACCCACACTTGAGACATTTCTTTTTGTGCTCGCTATCTGGGCCCGCCATACGATCTTCGAGGTCCGAGGGGCGGAATCGACAAAATGACTCTCTCGACTCTGACCCAAGGAGTTCATCTTCGCTGACGACGCGGTACCTTTGCAATCCGGGACAAGCCGCTGTTGCACGCTTTCTGCAGTGGCCATCTACTGCTACCAGGTCTTCGCTACGCAAACCCTCCTCGGTCAAGTCCCATGAAACCACTAGCTTCTTGATGAAAGCTGGTTGTGGCCGCCAGTGCTTTACCGAAGAACTGTATTTGTTGAGCTTGAGGTTGCCTTTCTGACCGACAGGATCGTGCGCATACGTAAGGCCACTTTCTAGAACGAAGAACAGGCGTCTGAAGCTCTTGCCGATGTGCATATACATCCTGTGTCCTGGGCCGCTTCTCAACGAGCCCGAGAAGTGCAAGGTCAAGCTGTCTAACCATAAGCTGAAGATAGCGTTCAAAGGTCGGAGGCTTTCGAAGAATTTTGGGTCCTGATAGCCGCAATCATGGATTCTGTGGCCAGGGACTACCAGTGTCAAATTTCGCAAGGTGTGAAACTTGGAATGCATTCCGACAGGTGTTCGTGTTATGATAGGGAGCAGAATGCGCACTCCTAGCTCGCTCTGTGAGAGGACGTCCTGCTTGTAAGCCAGCAGCCACGCTTTTGTCGTGCGGATCGAAACTCGTTCGCACTCGTGCTTTGCTTGCCGACACGAAAGGATCAGTCCGCGGCATTGTTCATTGTCGATGGGCGGAAGGTCCAGAAGCTCGTATATGGCAAAGCGGATCTCGGCCGGGAGCCTAAAGAGAGGCGATGAGGTCTGCGCAACCTGAATTGGAGACATTTCCAAATGCTCTACGACGAAAGCTAGAGTGCTCAACGATGAGACACAGTTTTCGATTGAGATCCGGTAGTTATATACTCCGATTCTCTTATGTTGCTGCCTAAATCTAGGACATTTGCTTGGCTGACGCACAACCTCCACTCTTCGACCTACTTCCGCTTTCAGAAGGAGGATTGAGGGCCCAAGAGTCCGTCGGATTATTACGATTGTACCCATCAAAGTGACATGGACGAGCCAACTGCGGTTAGTTGAGTATAGCTTTGTCAGACCGTTATTCACTACTCGTTACTGGCTTGACTACAGCTTTATCGTTCAACCATGCGTCTCCTCTGACCTTTGATACTCCCGACGCTCTCACCCCTGGCTTTCAAGCACCAGTGGTAGATTTTATTCCCCCACTTCGTACACTTCATATACACAATATTCTAAAAACACTGTCTGCGGGTTGTCATCGCTCTCGATGGGCAGATGACCAACTATTCCTATTTATGCAGCACGTGAGGAGGGAGCATAGGTAGAATAAGGATGTGGCATGTTATATGGTTAAGCATAATGTATATAGCGCACGTGTAACCTGGTTTCTCTATCTTCTGAAACAAAAACAAAACACATAGAAATAAACGCAGAAGCCCTAACAACAACAATGTAAAACGGCAGAGATTAGAAGCACACTGTATCTGGAAATGATATCCCATCCAGATCGATAGCCCACGGACAAGTAGCTACTTACAGCTACCCCATCGCCAATAACACAAACGATATGATCGATATTGTCCAGAAAAGTAAGTCAGGAACCAAGGAGGTAACTGTTCAGATCTAACACCTAGACATAAGCCTTGTCCAAGTTGCTAGCGAAGACGTCGTTCCTGAAAGGTACATTTGCCTTTCCAAAGAGGTCCCTGGGAGCAAGAGCTTGCCTAGCAGCGGTCGGCATAGCATCCCAGTCGCTGATCCAGTAGGTGCGACCGACGGTGTTGGTAAACTGCGTAGCGTGGTTGTAGGGGAACCTGACGAAGTACTCCACTTTGACGTTGTTGCCTTGAATGTTGGGGCGCGTGGTGGGCGAGTAACCGCCATGGCCGGATGCAGCAGCACCGAGGATACGGGGATTGGCGTTCGCCGGGTTGTCAATCCAGACGACAACACTCTCCTGTAAAGGTGTAGGCACTAAGTCAGCAAATGTCTCACATGCATCTCGTACAGTCACAACTTACCCAGTCATGGCGGTGGCCGCCTACGACGTTGCCAGCGGTTGGCTGGTCCTTGGGCCAGTACCACGCGTACATGATAGCGAACTTGCCCTTGTGCCATGCTGCTCGAGCATAGGTCTGGCCCTTGTTTTGGTCACGGCATCCGGCGCTGACATTTCCAGTATCCTGGAGACCTCCACTGTGAACAAGATGTGTGAGCGCTTGAAGTTTGAGTGCATCATCTCATAAGCTTACCTGGTGTTGCCATTGTCGTCAACTGCAGTGTAGGGCTGGCAGCCGTGAGCAATGTGAAGCAAGGGCTGGAACCTCAGAATGGCACGACCAATCGCTCCTCCTTGCAGGCGGGTCCGGATTGGGTTGAGGGAGTTGTGCGGGACTACAGCGCGAGTATCAAGCTGAGTTGGAGCGGGAGCTGCCAGGACGCCTGAAACTGCTGCAAAGGCAGATAAGATTGTAGTGAAATGCATTTTGGTGTAAAAGAGTGATAGAGCGAAAGGCCACTAAATTGACAAAGAGAGTGTGTGTTGATGTAAAAACTGTGTTGATGTGATCTGCGGGAAGCTGTGTCTGAACTGTAGAGGGGGTTGGTGGTGTCTTTTATGCTCAGAGCTTCTGCGCAGTTCAAGACGCCTTGCTGCTATCTCACGATAGTAAGCTCGTGACACCTTTCGGTGACATTACTCGGTGTTAAAGGTCTTGGTAAGAATGCACCTATATTGCATCGAAATATCACCGTACGGGTTCCATGAAGCTTGAGAAGTCTAAGAACTAGTTTCCTTACAAAGACACATGCGCCACGTGCGATACGATACTACTTTGCTTCCATAGCTTAGGAAGATGCTTGGCACTCATGGATAACCTAGGACAGACAGGTGCCAGTGGGTCGGCGCCACGCCTACTCAAATTATACGCAGTACAATTTGACGGTTGAAAACCGCACCAGACGCATTAAGTCATGACAGAATTCTAATAATAAGCCAAGCCTGGCAACATCCAATCGCAGGGTAATCTCATCTTAATGCAGGCTCTGTAAAACGTGAATAGAAATCGTCACATGAACGAGGATTTCATGGATGCCAGAAAACATCAACATATCAAAACCTTCGTTCAAGTCCTCAGCTCTTGGCAGCTTGCATTGCGGTTGGGATGGGTCATCATGGATACCTGGGTGTGCATTGCCTTGAAACACGACAGTGGCCTGATCCAGTCTGGAGTGAAGCCATTGCTAGACGTGCAAAATTCAGCTGCAGTTAGTTCCCCCAGGTTGCTGCGCCGAGACTATGCCAGCTAAAGACTAAGTCTGTAAGCAGTCACCTCTAGCCCACGTCTAGGACGTCGCGATCTGCGTGAAGGGGCTAGAACTGACCAGGTGGTGTTGCACTGCACAGGCCACCCTACCAAAGTCGCTGCCAGACCTGCATCGAAGGCATAATGAAGGAACTGGTGAATCCCTACAGGCGCTAAGTACTGGTGCCCCAAGAATGAGGCCGTGTTGAATGGCGTTGTCTTGTTAGTAGCAGTACATGTCCCACGAAATCCAACATTGTACCTAGTTGCAGCAACTAAATCTCAGCGTGGATGGGAAGTTCCGTAGGCGGTGCACTAGGGGATCTCTCGCGATGACGTGCCGCACGATTCCGGGCTGTGGCGTGCTATAGCTAGCTCGTTTCGCTCGCGTCGGCCCTTTACACAGGGCCGTTCATGCTGCTCCAACAACTCAGCCGAGCAATCCTAGGACACATGTAGTTTAGTCAGGCACCAATTCTAGATCGAACCCAAGACCGTCTTCCATGTCCCGGTCCGGGTCTCTAGTCTGACCAAGCGAATACGTCGTTCAGTCTTGAATAGGGTAGTCGCAATCTTACATCGCTCTTGTCCCGGAACCTGGGTCGTGAGCTCTGATATCGGTAGCTTGGCGACAGATTTTGTGTTCGATAGCGGTGCCTCCCAATGCTTCATATCTCTTTTCAATACAGTATTATGTATTTCGCCCGTCAAGAATCTTGCCTGCCGTTTGTCGCTCCTTGATCATACATAATCAGATGTGGCGAGATGTCTGGCGCAATAAACACATGTATGGAAAATTTGATTGGAGAAACACGTGGGCGGACTGTATAGCCAGTAATCGAATTGGCAAGCTGTTGTGTAACTCAAGCTGAGATGATGTAGTGTTCGTGCGGGAGGACTTTTATCACACGCCTACCCAGCCTGTAGCAAGCTTGATCAATCCGTAAGTGGTTTCGGTCTCTTTTTGTTTGCGCAGATTACAACTTTTTGTCTTCTCCAAACATTGCGGTATTCTTTTTCGTGCTCGCTCAATTGGCCTCAGCCGGCCCACTCGGATACGGGGTTGTCAGGCTGTTTGCTCCGCAGTGGTCATGGCATGCCACGCAGAAGAAGGCGCTACCTGGGGAGCCACACGTGTAGCTACTGCTCCTGCCTACCAATATGGTTGCCTGTAACACTGTTTTTGGTACTTTCCAGGCTGTAAGGGCGACGTTTCTTTTGGCCCCGGTCCCTTAAAAGGTAATTGAATCTGCTTCTATTTGTCGTCCCGTCTAACATTCCACGGACAATGTTTTTAAGCCTGCCAACAAGTATCCGCAAACACGTTTAAAGAAAGTTGAGAGGTTTTCTTTTTGGACGGGACAGAAGACGTGGCGGGGTTGAGGCAGTAATAGCAGGGCCAATGGACGCAAAGCAAAGCACACAAAAACTTACATAGCTTTCATTCTGCTTGCATTGGATGCACAATTTTGCGAATAGTGTTCATTCTCAGTACATCTTCACGAATCTTTTAGTTATTGAGAAGTTATTGGCCGGTAGTGAACCAACAGAGAAGCGGTGTGAAGAGTCCAGAACCTGATACGCCTGGGCGTGTTGTTCTGACATTACAGCGACCACAATTCCCATCCACCAAGTACCAAGGCTGCAGCGAGTGCTGGCTGTACCGACGCACCTGTTGCGACGGCAGCGTTCGACGAGGCAGGAGACTCAGTAGTCGTTGGGGCTGCAGTAGCGAGACTCTGTGAAGCAGACAGACTTTCTACGACGCTAGATATGCTGCTGACCATGGCTTCATCAGGCTTGATGGCGCATGGATCCCCGTTGTCTCCTAACTGTAGCTGATCCAGTGAACAGACGTCCGAATCGCTCGCGTGGACCCTGGCGAAAGTACCCAATTGCGCGCAATTGTCTGTGACATTTCCGAGCGTATTTGGATTAGGGGCACTCCAATCACCGGGTGATATGGATGATACGGGCCAAAGGGTAAAAAGCACTTCTCGAGTTGAAGTTATGACAGGTCTGGGGTGGTCGCACTGGGCATCTATATCATGCCATTGGATATACCACTGCAATGCATATGCAGTGCCTCCGTAGTTTGGTGGATGATCCCATTCCTTTGGATTAGTGTAGTTGACTAAAATGTACGGTGATCCATCGGTGTTGGTGAACGTGGATACATTTTGCGAGGTAAATTCCCTGTCCCATAAATCCTCAATCACGCCCCCTGGGATGGGATTCTCGATGCTGTTCCACGGCATGATATCCCATGTGAATTTGAAGGAACCGAGTTCAGCAGCCGCAGTAAGGTTCTGGAAGGCGAACACGATGGGCAATGAGGAGGTGAAGTTGTATGTTTCATTTCTGCGAGGAAACAAGATGTCGATTTCGAAAGCTGGAAGGTTTGAGGTTGGGGCTGAGGTTTGCGCTGATGATGTGGGTGTGAAGGAAGCGACAGCTGTTGCTGTGGTCTGAGCAGAGGCTAGGCAGCAGACAGCTAGAGCTGCTGCTGCTGCTGCACACCGAGAATAGCGTGACATCGTGGTGTAAGACTTTTGCGACAACTCAGATCGATTAAAACCACAGCATCATTCCTTCAATATCGTGATGTGGCAATAAGTTTGTCGCGTTGTGTACCAAGGCGGAAAGACCCTTTGCAATCTTAAGATGCCGCGCTGCCGTTCAGGCGCCCAACTAACCGTATTTTGTACGTGGTGATGGTCTCCTTCTTCCCTATCACCTGACTACACTCTTTGCTCTCAGTACTAAAGTCTAGAAGGAGTAGAATTCAACCTCAGCGATACCAGTTCTTGCCGGAATTGTTATGGCAATAGGAAACCCTCCATAGTCGGGGTCTTCATTTGGCATCATCGCGTTCGCTCCACTTCTCGTCTCATCACCACCCAACGTTCTTAGTGTTCGTAATGAACCTGTCGCTACGTCATCTACGGTCTTCTCTTCATTCCTTAGGATACCGTTGAACTTTGTGTCGGCCTTTGTCGATCGACCCATCACCTGAAAACCCCAGCCGATAAGTAAAAAGCTCGCTCCGCCACGATGGATGACCATACCGCTGCCAGTTCCAGGCTTGCCAAAGACAAAGGAGCGCTCTACAGTGATATCCCAGTCGCCGAAACGTTGCTTGATGGGTTTGGATGGATCTCTATCGCCGATCATTTCATCAAAACAGAAGCCAACCGACGAGCCTGGATTACTTTGCGCTTCAAGGACAATCTGAGAGACCTGTGATAAGAGTTCATAGTGTTTCGTATAAGGATTTTTCTCAGGCTCTAAAGTGTCGATGCCGAAGGGGCTAGCCAACAGAGCTTGAAAGGTTCCGTAGGCTATCCAAATCCGACGAACGCCATATTCATCTCTTCGCTGCTCAGGGATAAAAAGCGTGTTACCGCCATGTCGGTACTTCGCGCATAAGCCAGTGTACTCATTAAGATAAATGTCCGGCGCAATGAACTCGAGGTCTGGCGCAAACCGTAGCCATATATCAAGAACGTTGCTTGTTGCGCCTCCGGAAGGATAATCACCAGGCTCTCCACCTCCACCCACGACAATAGGAGTGTCGTTGTCAGCATCCTCCCCAGCATAGTTCTGCCATACGTTGGTGTACAACGGGATTGTGTATACGGATTTACCAGCCGCTGCTACACGATTGACATAGTGTGCGTAATGGTACGCCATGAAGAGCTCGTCAGTCCTGCTACCAACGCCAAACACTTCCTCCCATGTACCAGACTGCGGCTTCGAGCGCGCGACGAAAGTCTGGAGGTTGGCTTTGAGATCGGCGTGTAGTCGATCATAGTCGTTGCTCAAGAATTGAAGAAGTTCTGCAGGTACTGTTTCAGAGAAGACTTTGTTAGCCTCCTCACTTCCGTCCCGGCTGTCGAACAGAAGACCGACTTCGTTCTCGACTTGCACCATCAACACGGTACTGTGATCTTCATCTATCTCTTTGACATGAGCAAGCAGCTTTTGAAATGCTTTCGCATCCGCTTCAACATTCTGCTTGTGGAACAGAGACAAGACATCTGCAATCTCAATCACTCCTCCGGCCTTTCGAAGTTCAGCGCGTGGGAAGCGTTTCGGATCCGTCTTCACCCATGATGGCGTGTAAGTCGATCTGCCTAGCGATGGACCTATCAGTATATGGAAATAGGTCACGAGAGTACCTAGGTATGCCGACTCACCATTCTTAAATGACCCGAACCATAATAAGATTAGATGTAAGCCGTGTTTTCGTGCATCTAATGTGACTTTGTCCAGCTCTTTAAAGTCGAACTTGCCTTCCTCAGGCTCAATCATCTCCCAACTGACGGAGCCAAGAAGAGTATTGACATTCGTTGCAACCATCTTAGGCCAAATCTCGCTCATATATTCGGCAGACGAAAGCGAGGAATTTTGCAGCTCCCCGCCTAGCATCAGATACGGTTTGCCATGAAGAATAAGTTGTTTGGTATTACCACATTGTCGGAGGTAAGGAATTGAGGAATTGGAAGTCATGATGGATGATAAAGACTCAGAAAACTCGCGTATGTATGCAACAATAAGGAACAAAAAGACAATCCTCACAGCTCAGGTAGGCAGTCATGAACGTTCACTCTGGGCGCTCGTTATGCAACAAGTGGAGCTCTGCGGGGTTGCTCCAGCGGGGTAATACCCACCGAACAGAGGACTTCGTGAGATCTACCGGTGCTAGAAATGCAGCTACACTACTTACATCCCAGGGCCTCTGGTGTCAACAGCAGCTGCATAGATCTCCTAGTGGACAGCAACAATAACTCTTTTGTCCTTGATATCGTAATCGCCCTACCTCCGGCTGGTGTTGCATTGATGACGCGTTGGCAATCATCCAGAGCGCATGGAGCAATACTAGCTACCATCCTTATGAACCGGCATCATCAACTCCGCTCTTCATCAGTTAAAAGATGCATCCACTGTCATCTTGACCAATAACCTGAGGGGCCAGCTTCAGTATCCTGACCTTGAGACTACCAAGTCTAAGGCTGATGCCGATGGTTATCTACTAAAGCTGAATTGCGTTCGTACTATGTAACATGGTCTAGGATGTGTAAAATACATCTTGCGCAGGCAATATGACTCCGCCATGTACTGCAATCAGAAGAGAGGGCGCTTCATTGGTGAGAAATGGGAAACTACGTAGTTATGTACAAAACAATATGGATCACGTAGGAAGACTGAAAGGTTAACCGCCCGATAATGATCGTATGCTAGCAACATACCTAGGTATTCATGCCCCATAGAGAGGTTTTCCTACAAGGAGTACGCGTCGAAATCACACAAACCCAATCCTTCCAAGGAACGCCTCAAAATTACCAAATCCATCCCATCCACCCACTCCATTAACAGTCTCTTGACTCCACTTCACGCCCTCATCTGCGCCAGGCCCATAGTATGCCCATTCCTTAATCATGATCATATTTTCCAACAACTCCTGCCCAGATTTCCACTCTTCATCTGCCACTTCCCTGAATTCACAACTCTTTCCCGTGACGCTCACCACAGCTGCGCAAACATCGAGAGGTGTGACCCATGCGCTCGCAGCAAGCACGTGCTTGCCAACAGTAGCTTTTGGATCAGCGAGACATGAAGCTACAAATTTCCCAAAGTCGGTGGGGACGTCTAGCATTGGAATCCGAGTGTCGGGGTGGAAAAGCAAAGATAACGTGTATGCGCCGCCATCTTGACTCGGCTTGATAGACCCAGGAACATTTGTCATGAAATAGCCTGGAAGCACGAAAGAAGCTGGTTGACCGGCTTCATTGATGTGTTCTTCAACCATGGCTTTGCTGTCAAAGTGGTGTAGGTTCGCCAGTCTTCCACCAGTGATCTTTGATACGCGAGGTAATGAAGACCAGAGTAGGTGCGGAACCTTCGCTTCGATGCAGGCGTCTGTCAAATTGCGGCCCTGCTGGACTTCGTGGGCGAGTGATGCCATCTCCCAGTACTATGATGAATGTTAGAGACGGACGGCAAGAGTGATGAATCAGAGCGAATAGTACGTTTGTCACGCCAAAAACAGCGTCAGATCCGGTGATAGCTTTCAAGATTGACTCCTTGCTGTTGAGGTTCGCCTAACATGCTCAGTTCCCATCCAATCCACAATCGTCGAATCAAGAGACTCACAGTGACCATCTCGACACCTTTTGCTACCATGGCTTGCGCATCGGGTTTGTCGGGGTTCCTTGTAACTCCGCGCACCTTCCACTCTTTACTTAACTGCGGGTGATTCAAGATAGCTCGCACGACGGATCCGCCCTGGTTACCGGTAGAGCCGAAGACTGTGATGAGCTTGGTCATGTTGCAAAGCCGAAGCATTCGCGTCAAGTGCTGTTCTGAAATAATGAGATGCTGTTTAGCAACAGGTACTGCTGCTAATTATATAGCCCATCTTGCTCAAGCTATTCTTACAGCCGCAGACATGGGTGGCACTACGCAGTATGCCCATTATGCATCATTCAAAGGTTGTACTTGCCCACGTGTTAAAAGTTGCATGACAGTAGAAAGCTTCATCAGATGAATAACGGGAGAGTAAGCTGAGAAAGCAGGTGAGTTGGACGAAGAAGGTTAAGATGGAGACCAAAAGTGGGGTGATAGCTTGATACATCGTTAGTGCATAGATGTGGGGGGATTACTCACCTAGGCGTACCCCTCGGCGCCTCGTCCACAGCGATACCTGAGGTCAACAAGATAAGTCGGGATAATGGAATGTTTGGCGAAGTCAGTCGATACTCCCTAACATTGCTTATATAAATATGCACAAGCACATAACTAGGGTCTGCAACAATCCCTCACACTTACAAAATCCCAACAGTATACACCCATTACCGCGCTACATCGATCTTCTTCGTCCCGTTGTATATAATACACTCATTCGTAACGCCAGATCATCTCGTTCTGTTCTCTTCTTTCTGAATATCAAGAATTTTTCCAACGAATGCTCTCCAATGACCTGCCCTGGCACGCCTAAACCTTGAACCATCTCGTCCTTGGAATCAATTTCGAATCTGAGGGAACCCTAGTCATCACCAGGTTCAACTCCAGGCTCAAAAAACCTGGCATCAAGACTAAAGTTCTTAAGGTCAGGAGCCGGCTCGGCGTAGTAATCATCGGTATCCTGAAAGCCGCCGTGGTCGTATCGAGCACTGCCAGCTTCAATTTCGCGAAGAGGTTTCTTGTTGCGGCCATTAGCGACAAGGTTACCGTAGCGGGAAGACACTCCGCCTCTTCCAATAGCTTCCCTTTTTGCAGCCTTCTTTGCGTCTCTAGCAGCGTCTTTTCGAAGCTTTTTGCCGTACCACTCCCACTTCTTCATCCCGTTGGAAGTAAGCTCTTTTTGATCCCCAATTTGGTCACTTGTCGGGTTGTTATTGACCTTGTCCCTTCCTTTCTCTCCGCTCACAACCAGCTCTTCATCTTCTTTCGCAAAAATGTACCTTTCTCTAACCCAATTTTTTCTCTTCTTGCCGACATCACCACGCCTTCCAACAAACCCACCCAGTATCGCTGTAGCCCGTAGGTAAGACATATCGGGATCGAATGGACTTTCACCTTCTTCTACTGGACGATATACCTCTTGATAGTGGTCAGTCTGGAACAGAGGTTCAGCGGTGGACCGATTTCGCGTTTCATTGGCAATATTGGTTGCGAGAATTTCGGCGTTGGAGGAGAAGCCAAACAGTGTCGCAGGTGTCGCGTTAGTCCAGAAGTGGACTGTGGAAGCCTCGCGCTTGATTGCAGTCATGGGCGATGACTCGGCAGTTCCCTGTATCTGATCTTGCCCAGAACCAGCAGGAATTGGTTCTTGCTGGTTCCTGTTCTTGCCACGCCTGCAACCGTGTCTGCGACTGCGTTTGCCCCATCTATGGCCAAGTGTAGCACCGGCTTGGCCTTCAACCTCGTTGGCAGCTTCTTCATCTACTAGAGCGCCGTCGTGACCAGTGGTCTGCTGAGGCGAGAGATCGTGACCCTCCTGCCAATTTGTGTACGCCCTGTCCATCTGCCTGAACTCTATCTCTTCATCAGTTTGCTACCCTCGAGAGTTTCACTCAACAAATTGATTGCAGCATCATCGGATTCCTACCAGACAGCTTGCTGAGTATATCTGCACCTGTGTTTCTACGGAAATGAGTCCCAGAATGATCTGTTGTCTTCGTGCCGTAAGCAACTGCTTGCAGTTTTGTGGTGTTTGTGGATGTAGGAAGAAAACACCAAGAATCAGGCGCTAGTGCGTGAAGTGCAGCCTCAAAAAAGTTTCTTTGTAAGCAAGCCTTGGCTCGCGTTCTCTGTTATGCCTCCGAGGAGTATCGTTGAAGTTTGTTACAGAAGATCTGCTGCTGTGGAGAAGACGTCGCGCCGCCGGACAGTAGATATACTGACGATAATGTAGTACCGACTACAGCAGCAGATGCGATATCCGTGAATGGATTGCACGGAATAGATAATGCTTCTCTAGTGCTAGCGAGAAGTGTTTCGTGGTATTAGTATTATTAAGTAGACATGTACAGTATCGTTCCAGCATCTAGTAGTAATTACCTCTCTCCCAAGCCCAAATGGTAGGAATTAGCTCGCACAATCATCTTAGAACAACGTGTCATCTCCGAAGCGCTCAGCATACATGCCCAGCGCCTTAATCGGGAAGATGAACTTGTAGTTCGGATACGAAATCATACTGTCATGACGTTAGCTACCATTATAACCGTCCAGTAAGATCGGTCAACTTACCAAGACTTGTTGAACACCCCCTCGATCGCCTCCTGTAGCCACTCTCCGTTGGCCTGCTGCCTCTTCATGATGAGTTTGACAGCCTTCTCCAGTGGTTCCTTATGCGGGAAACCACCCTCAATCATTGCGATAATCACCCAGGCAGTCTGCACAACCTGACTTTGTGGATGCTGATCCCAGACACCGTTCTCGCAGCTCTTGTATGTCTCGCCCCAGCCTCCATCATCCATCTGCTTGTCTAAGAAGAACTGGCATGCCCGTCTCACACGCTCGGAGTTTTCGTACTGTTCGCCAGAGCACTTGAGTGATTCAAGAGCAAACATGCCAGCGTAGGTAAAGCAGATACCCCAGCTACCGTACCACGAGCCGTCAGGGCGTTGAGCAGCTCTGATATACGATACAGCGCGGTCGCGGAATGCAGAAATTTCTGCAGTGCGGTAATCTGGGTAGTAGTTTTGGAACATGTGAAGTGCGGTCACTACGGCGGTCGTGCATTCGGGGTAATCGTACTCTATCATGATGTTGCCGAAGACCTCTGCTGCGTTGAGGTGCTCTAGGAGAATACTTCCTCGTGTTGGCTCGTAGGAAGCACAGCCACCAGACGCGTTTTGCATGGTAAGCAGGACGTCAATGGCGTCTTTCACACGGCGTTCATTGATGAGTTCAGGAAACGCGTTGCCGTTCTGCAGGATGAGTGTACTCTTGAGGCCTTCAGACGTGCAGTCGCTAACGGTGTATCCTTGCTTCCGTGTACTGAAACCCCAGGCACCCTTACGTTGTTGACGATAGCATGCGTGTTGATCTCTGGTTTCTTCAAGTATCTGCTGGTCTTCCAGGAACTCGAGACTCTTTGTGAGCATGTGCTTCCACTTCTTATCTTTTGACCAGCCGCAGGATTCAACGGCTTGGATGAGGAACGCAGTGTCCCATGTTTGCACACCATTCGTACCATTCATAAGCATACCTTCATCCTTGACCCAAAGAAACTCCGGGAGGGTTTTGAGATGCTCGCGAACAGCATGGCAATCACGTCCTTCTCTGATGTATGCGACCAGCGTATTCATGGGACCGTTCACAGGACCAAGGTTTGCGAAATCAGTGTTCTCATCCTCAGCTTCAATGAGCCACCATACGTGTTCTTCGGCACGCTTGATCATCCAGGTGGGTCGAATGTATGGAAACCAGATAGCAGCCAAGAACCAAAACAGAAGTTTGAGCATCCATGACTTGGCATGATAATTATCCGTAGAGGCGATGGTGTTCCGGTGCGCACCAAAATTGATCGTGTCAAACGGCTGCATCAACAGCTCGGCGCGCAATTGACGTGTAAGATCGTTCAGCGGATACGACCACTTCTTGGAGTAGATATACGACATGGGCAGAAAAACTTGTCGCATGTGTATCCACCATCTCCAAGGCGCGATGGGCACCCAATCAGGTAGTAACCATAGCTCAGGTGGACAAGGATTGACAATATCCCACTCTGTCACACCTAGCACGCTCAACCAGAATTTTGCCCAATGTGGTGCATTGAGCGCACCACCCAGTTTCCAAAGCGTGTCTCGCGCTTTCTGCATCCGAGGCTCTTCTGCCTCTACGCCCAAAAGCCTAAGCACAGTATAATTCATCGCGGTACCGAACACGGTGCTTTCGCCCTCAATGTGTAGCCCCCAGCCACCGTCCTCGGGGTTGGCCCGCGCAAAGAGGTAGTTCTTGATTTCGGTCGCATGCGACGCTGGTACTGGTGTCTCGGTGACATACCAGGTGATCACAAGGCCAGGTAGCAGAAACATAGGGCCGCCGTATTCACAAGCCCAGTTTCCTGGTGGGAGCTGGAGTTGGGAGAAGAATTCGAGACCATTGTGTGCAGCTTCGAGGGGAGTCTTTGCAGGCTTCAGGGTAGGTTGTTCCTATGAGTTCGATCAGCTCAAAGGTCCTGTGTGGATTTACAAAAGACGACTGGAACAGGCACCAACTCACCGTATCGAGGCCTAGAAAGTATTTATCCGCTGTACTCTGTGGCCATGCCTTCATGTCCTTGTCGCTTTCGAGGTAGTGCCATGTCTGACATCCCCGGTCATCCTTCAACCTCCACCTTGTGTAGTCGGTCTTCTCATGGCCGTCCTTGCTCTTGGTCACGCCTACTGCGTCGTTCAGTATCTTTTGCGCCGCGCCGCGCTTCGTAGCGCCATTGCTTTTCTCAATGGCATGCGGCATTGTGTGTGTATTTGGTTCGTGTGGTTCTGAACGTCGTCCTACACGTTGCGTTCACGTGTGAAAGACGTGATAGAACTGGCATGCGCTTCGTGCGGCGAGATACCCCGGAAATGGGCGTCTTGGCAGGACGCGCCATCAGAGGCGACAACGGCCTTGCCAGTCGCTGCATCCGGCATACTGGCTGAGCAACTACATTCCCACGCTAACAGAATGGAACTTCAGATATATGCTTTCAGGTCGCCTACGTGTAAACGTGGTTTGCGCGCGTCAACTTTTCCATCTCACATAATCCCCTAGACCCTGGCTACAATGTACATCATCATCGCACTCCTGTTATCTACCACCACGGAATCTTGAAGCCATTGCAAAGCCACACGCCGTTATTATCCAAGCATCCCCTACGCGTCTCCAAACTTTCTCAAACATCACAAATACCACAAGTCCCGATACATACACAGCCACTCGCCTGGCATCGCCCCTGACTCAACAGCGGGAATCAGTCTTGGCAGGCACTCCCGCGGCGAGGCGCGCGATCGACATAAAAGTTGACCACTCGGCTCGCGCAAGGCTTGCATTCCCGCCCCCTTTCAAACTTTCGCGCGCAACACAACGCACAGATCACTAATCCTCGTATTGGCGGAACATGGGAGCATCCGAGACCGAAGCTTTGGATCGACGATGAGTGTAGGGAAGGCTCATGGAGGCACGACTTCATTACATACGTAGAGCTGGACTGGGTAACCACTCGGCGTGTATGCAGAGAGGAGATGAAGATCTTCATGTATGACGAAAGATTGCAGATGATGTGTAGACAATGACGGCGATGACGATGGTGACAAGGGAAGTGTGGAGATGAGCAATGTGAATCATTGGTTGTGCGTTCATTCAATCCTCGCATTCAGTTGGCGGCGGGTATGATATGGTATGTACAGATACTATGCGTTATGTATCGAACGAGCGAGAACCTCCAGGGCAGTCGCTCTGCACGCTCAAGATCGAGTGCCCCTCCAACAATGAGACTTGAGCAACAAAGGAAAAAATGCATGTGCCATCCAAATATGAAAACACCATAGTACGCTGGAAATATGCCATAGTAAAAAGCCGTGAAATGCTAAACATGCTTCAGATTTTCAAAAAAGGGGGAAAGCGGTGATTCGTGGCTCCCGTGAAACCAATTCGGTCTTGAGTATGCGGTAATCGTGTATGCTGTGGTAGTGGTGGCAAAATAAAAATCGTTGTTTCGGGTATCGCAGAAAAAGTAGCCTCTCATCCATCTGCCCTTGGTGGGCAAACGTGATCAATCGCTCAGGTCGGGGTTTGCAACGAACAACCTTGTCCCCATGGTCATGGTCCGCTCGTCTACGCTGCCCCTCCGCACTAGGTCGTCCTTACTGCCCTTCTTGTCCGTTGTAGCGGGTGGTTTCAGCATTCCAGGCGCTGGTAATTGCCCCATGTCACCGAAATTGCGTTCGCCACTGCTACCACTACCCGTACTTGTGTTCGTTTTGGTGTGCTGGAAGTAGCTGTTGTCGTTGGGCGCGTTGACGTCGTATTCCGCGGGGGACGGAGTGGGTTCTTCCTTCAGGTCGGCAAGTTCGCCGTCGGGGGATGAGTTCTGCGGGGGTGTGCTGTTGGAGGATATTCGGCCGGTGGGATTGGCGTAGGACATGCGGCGCCCTGAACCGAGCGAGGAGCGGCCTGAGCCTGTGCGGTGGTGGTATTGGCCGTTCTTGACTGAGCCCGCGTCTTCGTCGTCACCTTCGTCTACCTCTGAAGCACTCAGGCGCATAGGCACACCTGAACCTGCGTATGTGACTGGTGCGTATAACGACGCTTTTGGTAGACCGTGATGGCGCCCAATCTTGGACCGCACACCGCCAGCCATGCTGGATCCTCCCGAGGCACTTCGCGGCGGGACGTGGTGTGGGCCGCCTGCTACTTCCATGTTTGCCCGCATCTTGGCCTGCCGTTGCTGTGCGAGCATGCGCGGGTCTTCGTACTGGGCCCTGTCACACCAGACTGTGGCCTTTTGTTTCCGCATAAGGGCAACGTAGGAGGTGGGCGAGTTACCGCCCGAGCGTGTGGACGAGGAGCGACGGAGAGCGCCACTGTTGGAGCGGTTCGGGGTGCCTGTGGTAGAGCTGGTGGACGAGGTGGGCGTGCGGCGGAGACTGCTCTGGTACTGGGTTGGATATTGCGAGTTCATGGTGCTTGTGGTAGGCGATGCAGCGGGGAAGATGCCTGAGCTGGTTGTGCGTGTTCGTGAATGTCCTAGTTGGCCGTCGTTGTGGTATTGATGCTGCGGGGGTCGTACCGAAATGCCGGGGTTTGCTATGGGCTTGCGGCGGAGAGGAACAGCCCCGTAGGCAGAGGTTTGTGGGGGTTGCGCCATGACAGCCTGCATGTTTGATTGACTCTGCTTGCTTCGCGTCACGAATCACGGGAAGTGAAACACGGATCAGCGTGCTGACGTCGGGGCGACAGCGTCAAAGAAACACAGACAATGACGTTCTTTTTTGGCAAACTAGCAATCTCTTGGCTCGCGGTGAAGAGGAGCCGGTGTTTATGTAGCAAGCAGTCGTGGTCTGGCGGGAGAGCTCGCTTGGCGCCCCGCTGAGAAAGGTGTTCTGCAGCCCTGTGATGCTAATGCACTGACTTCCCACGGCTTCCGGCAATGGGCTGATGTGAGGTGAGGCACAAAGTTTGGTGATGCTTATGATATGCGGGCAAGGGACAGCGGCAGCGACGGCGGGGGCGAGAGAGTCGACGCCCCGCGGGAGGAGTCGAGATTGCAGGTGGAGGGATGGGTGATTTGCGACGACTTGGGGTGCTTGGGTTGCCGTGTCGAGTCGCGGGCGGGAAGGGTCCTTAATAGCAAATGGTCCAGTCCAGCCAGAGACGCTAGAAAAGCTTACTCTAAAGAAAGAAAAGGTCAACACGAGCCATTTGAGTGTTTGAGAAGAAGAGCAGACGCCCGCTGGCTTGCGACAATTGAGCCGTAGTGCATGCACGGCGTTGCAGTGCGCGAAATGCTGACTTACATATGGATGCGGCGTCTTCGTCTTGTACTAGTCCAAGCCGGTCCTGCAGCAAGCAGCGGCACACACTCAGCTTTTGAATAGGGAATTACAAAAAAGAAACGTCGAGCGCAGTGGGTTAAGCGGGTGGGGAACAAAGGGAATAGTGTGGAATGGTAGGAATTGATAGCAGCAGAATCGGGAGGAGTGCGCCCGCAAGAGGAAGAGGCCGTGTCTTGTATCTTGGGTACTCTCCGTGCTTGCCGTTGAGGGCGATCGCGCTAGAAATGGGTGAGCCGACACTTGGGAACCACGTCTCCACCACGCAAGTGTCAATGACGAAAGGTTGCTCTGCACTGTCGCGATGGCGTATTATTATACGATTACCCACGCGCGCCAGAGCACGTCCATAGTAGGTTGCTGTTAACGCCACAAAACCTGAATCCGCCGTATACAAGAGGGCACACTGAAGTCAAAACAGCCGCCCCAGCGAAGCGGAGCCCAGTCCGTATACGGCTCACCACTACTACCTTGAGCCTTGTGCGCCGAGCATCCTGGCTGACCTGCTGCTGCATATCGCAAACTTCACGAATCCCACTCGCTGCCGAGCATATGCTCTCCGCGTCGAATCATCGGCAAACGTGGCTCGAGCATTGCGGGCTGCAGGACCCAGTTAGCTGTGCATGATCGCCTCTGGTTGCATGCTGCTGCCTTTTTGCTTTTGAACCTCACCTTGCACGGCCTGCCAGTGCTACGTTTGACACATCGCTTACTGCACCGGCTATGCTGTTTCACTCTCTTCCAAGCGTGCCGGCATCTTGGTTGCAAATCGATCAATAGCCGCAACCACTGTCAAACTTCACCCGCGCCCATCGCCAACTCTGCCGGCGCCATCATCGCGAGACCTCACCCCAGCGCACATCCGACCAGGATACAACCAAGGCCCTGATACCGTTTCATCCAACGTGATGTGTTGAATAGCCCGCCCACAGTCCTTGCTCGTTCCCTCGCTCTCGTCTATATGCCAGAGTGGGGTTGCATGCACGTTGATGCACCATCAGCCGTTCCCCGCTCTCTAGCACTGCGCACTCAACCATGGAACACGCTGCAACGCCAGCCGAGCTCTCCCAGATCGTGATCTCTGCGAACGTCCGAAAAATGTTGAGGCTCTTTTTTTCTGCATCACCACATCCACCGTCGCCGTCTTCGGTCAATTCTGCCCGGTAGATCCGCTTCGGCCTTCGCCGAGAATCTTCTAGTAATTAGCATTGCCACCTCCTGTACATCTTTGTCAATAACCCGCTGCGTTTCTGATAATACCTATCGATAAACACTTTCTGTGGAGATACGGGTTTCGATGGGTATTCATAGAGGAAAAATTGGAGAACAGCCCGTACAGAGGACAAGCGTACCAGACTCTGCGTTGTGGCGTAGCATCGCGTAGCAGCATCCTGGAGCAACATCCTCCTGCAAACGCCGCCACCGAAAAGGACCCTGAAGAGCTGAATTTGTAGATCATTGCTTGATTGTGCCGCCTTCGGGTCTTTGTGACCCCGCCTTCGGTCGTATATGATTATCGCCAGCCTCAATCCTCAAAAGGCAAACCGTGCGCCGCCGACACGCTCTCAGCGTCTATAAGACGCCTGCTCCCGTTGCCATGATGGTGTTGCACGCCTAACAGGCCGACGACGCGCTACCAGGCATCATCCCTCTGGAGGCGCAAATGATCAATACAACAACGGCACATGATTCGTGACCATCCACCCACACCACCAGAATCCACAGTGCCAGTGAGACCCAAGACCTTGGTTTGGAGGGTTACACAAACGTCCGCAGATCTCTCACCTGCATACAAGATCGCACACCACAATTTGCATACTCATTTTCTCTAGCGGCTTGTGTACGAGTAATGCCCCTTGGCTACGACAGCGCGAGCAGTGAGCACAATACAAGGCTCGGTTTCTGCCGTGCTGACGAGAACCGCACCTGCATCGTGCTACGACGACTGGGTATCGTATCTCCAGACGGGGTAGTTGTTATCGTCAACTGCTGCTTTGGGCAATAGGCTTGCGCTCGGTAGGCAGCTGATCCGGCATTTAGGTCTTAGTGTCGGTCTTGTGCCGCTGTCATCGGGAAGGTACATTGTGGTCCTGGATAAGTGTGTGATCAAGACGTGCCGACTGCATGAGGGGTTTCTCCGATGCTTGGACAGCTTTAACATCGTACGAGTATAGTTGAAATTGTGCATGCACAAGTTGCATTCTTGCAGTACACTAAGTATCGTATGAGGGGCACGCACCGCACGTGCGGAGATAACATGGAATTCAATACATGGGAATCAGATTTCCAAAAACACCTCGCCGTATCGAGTACAGTGTCGCTCACAACCTAGTAGATGTAAGGGATCAGCTGATACGGGGTCTTCTGCTTGAACTCCTCCCACTGCGCTCCGTAGCGCTTCTCGCAATATTCACTAAGAATTGGAATCGCTCGCTGGGTAAAGTCCCAGGCAAAGAAGGCTCCCACCAGCGCACCCAGCGTGTAGCCGCCACCGACCATGGCGTAACCCGCCCTCCAGATTGTGTAGCCGCCGTAGTTAATGTGGCGGGCGAAGCTCCAGAGACCTCCAGTGTACGCCTTGCCCTTGTTGTCTGGGTTCGCCTTGAAACGCTTGCGCTGTACTTCGGCAATTAACTCAGTCATAATACCCACGACGTATAGCGAGCCGCCAATGAGGAGCGCTGGTTGCGGGAAGTCGGCTTCGGTCGAGGCAGAAGTAGCAGTGGTAAGGAAAGCGTATGTGCTCAGACTGTTGAATACAGCATTAAAGACACCTACGGCGATGGCACCTGTAACTGGCATGGGTTCTCCAGAGAGTGCTGTCACCCAGATGTTCTGCTTCACAGCAGCGCCAACCGCCATTCCAAGCAACACCAATCGGTAGGGTGACAAGCCCAAGCCATCGATCAGAGAGATGCCGGTATGCGTTGGAAGCCCAGGAGGCAATGTTCGCAAACCTACACGATGCAGGACGGAGGTGCCTAGGCCATGTGCGAGGATTGAATATTGGAGGACAGGCTCGATGCCGCGCAGGATGAAGAACGTCGCTTTGCCTAGTGGTGTAGGTGTGTAGTCACCACGCGCGATGAGGTCCTTCTTCTTTGATGCGTCCGACCGAGGGTCGTTCGGGTTCCCTTTCTGGCCTTGACCCGGCGCCATTGTGAATCAATTGCTTGGGACTGTCGCTGTCAGTACAGTCGTCGAGAGAGCTCGGGTAGAGTGGGGTTACCTTGTCTAAACTATCGCAGTAAGTGGTACCGAGACACTTACATATAGCGCCAGCTATATGTACAATTTCTCTTCGGGCTGTTGAAGTGCGCTCGGGCACTTGAAAGCGCGAGGCTGATTAACGGCTTTGGTGGAGGATCATACGACGGGTCATGACGTACACGCTAGCCGTTCGCTCGGCTTCATCCACCTTGGAAATGCCGTTGGCTACACGATCAGAACATCATTGACCCTTCATTCTGAACATTGGCCTACTCAAGGCCTATATGATACGACAATACACGGCCATGATCCGCTTGAAGAAATGGTTACTGTTAGCCCGAGGCACATGGGACGTACTCCGTTGCTGTCTGGTTCAAGCTTGGTCCTCGCGTGTTCCCGTGACGACTTGCATTAGCGCGTCAGTCAAAGCGCGTTCCCAGATGCCCCTCCATACGTCCTACCTTTACTCTGTTGAGACGCTTTAAGGCTTTTTTCGTTCAACAACAATGATTTCATTGCTATTTTTTATCAATGTTATGACAGAACCAGAATCCCAATGCCACAGTTTGACTTTCCTTTCCACTTTTGATTGTCCGCCCGGTGTCACCCGTGTCAGTGGTAACATTTGTGCGGTTATGGTCAGGATATTGAGGCCTACGAAGATGCGCATGCAACCAGTCAAGTACGCAGCTGCACATACCATAGTTTTACACTGCCATCTCATGCGCGTGGATGTCGAGCGCGTTGGTACTCGAGAGCAGTGGCAGATTACCTATACGCGATTTTGGTCAAGTGCACCCGGACGCAAGCGCTTTATTCGCTATTCCCTCGGAGGTTTCACGTCTTGTGTTTACCGGCTCGACGTTAGAAACATAAACACCTGCGGCCTATCACGATATTTTACGCTTCCGTACATCGGTATCCAACCATGACCGTTACTTTCCGCGCAATCTGTAGCCTCCTGCAAAATATCGAGATTGCCACGACACAGCAATCACGTTTACCTACAAATCAAGAGAAGAGTAATATACGCGAGATAATCTCGAACTGGTTCGTTGATCAGAGAGATGCTCTCGATGACCCTACGACGAATAGTAGTGCTGTGCTATCAGCTCTCTTTCCACATCGAAGGAAAGACCGAGTCTACGGCCTGCAGCCGCCCTTACTGGCAAAGAAAATTCTCAAGCTACTTGCCTTCAATCATAGTCAACGTGCACTTTTCGATGGCTAGAAAACAGGAGTTCTTGGAGACCTCGGTGCATACGTCGAACGAGCAATGAGGCCATGGGATGGCACTTTCAACAGTAAACGTGCGTTGCCGGTCGAACAAATCGACAATCTCCTCGTACAATTAGCGGCGAGGTGCCGGTTCTCTGATGAGGCCATCCGAAAAAAGCGTCATTTGGATGTCAAAGTAGACATGGAGCTCAAGGACATACTTGTGAGGCTTGAGTCTTGGGAAGCAAAATGGTTCGTCCGTCTTATCTTACGAGATCACTGCACTGTTGGACTTGAAGAGAATTTCGTTTTGGAACGCTACCACTTCTTATTACCGGAGTTGTTGATGTTCCAAAACGACTTCGACGCCGTTTTCAAAATGCTCAGGAGCGAATTGAGCTGCTACCCCCCAGTACCAGAGCCTACAAAGCAGCAGTATATGCGTCTTGAGGCGGCGCAGAAACTGAGAGCTATTGTTGGAATCAAGGTGGGGCGGCCAACGTTCCATAAAGCTTGGTCTTTGAAGCACTGCATTCAGTTGGTGGGTCAACGAGCTTGGGCTGCCGAAGTCAAGTACGATGGCGAGTACTGCGAGATACACATAGACCTGGATCGTGCGCCCAATCATATTCAAATCTATTCTAAAAATGGGAAAGATGCAACAGCGGACCGAAGACCTCTACATGCTACCATTTACGAAGCTCTACGTATCGGACGACCAGATTGCAAGTTGAAAAAGAAGTGCATCGTTCTTGGCGAGATGGTTCTCTACAGTGACCGAGAAAGAAGAATCATGGCTTTTTCGAAGCTCCGAAAGCAGATATCACGCTCCGGTTGTTTCATTGGCACACTCCAAGATTCCCTGCCGCACGAGTGGGAACACCTCATGATCGTATTTTTCGACGTCCTTGTATTGGATGACGAATTGACCCTACGTCACTGTCTGCAAGACCGCCGCAAGATTCTCCGAGACCTTGTCCATGTAGTGCCCGGTCGGTCAATGCGATCGGAGTGGACCCTATTGGATTTCTGCCAGGATAAGACAGGGGATGGCATAACAGACCTTAAACAGATATTCGCCCGGAACCTGGCCGAACGCCAAGAAGGACTCATCCTCAAACCGTTGCATGCACCGTACTTCCCACTGTTGTCAGAGCAGGGGCACCATCAAGCAGGTTTCTTCATCAAATTGAAGAAGGACTACTTGGCTGACATGGGTGGTGAGCGCGATTTGGGCGACTTTGCTGTTATCGGAGCTGACTTTGATGCGCAAACCGCGCCAAAAACCAATATCAAACCCTTGCATTGGACGCACTTTTATCTTGGGTGTTGTCTGAACAAGGATGCGGTGGAGCGTACGGGTGCAAAACCAAAGTTCATGGTCGTAGCGAGCCTCAGTCTCGACAAGTGCATACCAAAGTCTGCCGTCAAGTACATGAACATCCAAGGCTATGTTCGTCAGTCTGTCCTACAAGATAACGGCTCAACAGCCGAGTTCGACATTCAATATCCCAAAGGTTATGAAAGACGTATGACCACCGTGTTCAAGAGACCTTTCGTAGCTGAGGTCCTCGGCGGTGGGTTTGAGAAGCTTCAAAACGAATGGTTCGAAATGTTAAGACACCCTAGAGTCAAGAAGATCCACCATGACAGAAGTTGGGAAGATGCTGTTTGTTTAGAGGACCTGGAACGTATGGCTGAGGAGAAGTGGGAGCTTCCCGATGCTGACAAGCTTGATGGCCATACTCGTGATATTGCTCTGTTGGCCAAGAAGTATATCAAAGAAATGGGCGGATCGCAGTCAACAATGAAGACCGATGACACCACGCAGCAGACGACTCCTCGCTCCTCACCAATATCGCCTGGTCCGACTATCACGCGGACCATTAGCCAATCGGCATCCAATAGAACCGTAGTTCAGGAAACGCAAGAATACATCTACACTTCAGTTTCCACTTCCCATGGTTCTGCTGATGGTAGTACCCAAGGTAAAGGTACACGAGCCTCTCGTGAACTGCGCGTTCTTGTACGAGAGGACACATCAGAACGCCTAGGTGTCTCGAATCTCTCAGCACCAATATCAACAGCGTCCAAACCCGACAGCCTTTCATTGCACAAGTCCAGTGCGACATCGGCTTTGTCGAACATAAACAAGCGATCCAGCTTCATGTGGAAAATTAGTCCACCCGATTCAAAGCGTAGAAAGGCGCTGGCTCCACTACGGTCTTCTGGAGGTAAACGCGACCTAGGTGGGTTTGATTATGACTCGCAGGAGGGAACCATCCACATCTATACGAGGAAAGGTGTAAAAGTGCAGGTACATACCGGATCTCAGGACAAGGAGCATAAGAGCTGAAAGAGACGGTGCAGTAGTTGGTTACTTGCGACCACACCACTCCCGCTATCTCTTATTTTAGTGTTATAGTACATCCACTCCAAGGCTACATGTTTGATGATTACCTACTCACATGACGGTGAAAAGATGACACGCCTGATACAGGTTCAAGCAGAGTAGGATAATCCTTTTCGTTACTTTCGCCCCTCAGTCTTTCTTCTTCCGCGTACCAAGGAGCATAGAGCGCAATTGCATTACGCACTCGCTGTATTGATCGTCCATGGGTTTTTCCTGCTCTTGCTTCGGGTCTCTTATCTACACCAGGGTTTCTCCTCTTCCTCCCTGACCAAGACTGGTCAATCATACTTGCTTGCTCCGCCGAGATTTCTTCTTAACCAACTACATAGCAACCTTATGGCAATGTATCTCAACTTATCATCTTGAGTCAGGTAATGGTTGACAGATAAGACAGTGGCTTACATAAGGGTCTAAGGCAGGTGGAGACAGCGGCGGGTGTGTTTCGGCTGCATGATCCTTGTCAGGCAGGGCCCAAGCACCGTCACCACCGACCGAGCGCGTGGAACTTTGGCTAGAGACAAGATTCAATGACGAGAGACACAACATCCACAGTAATGCGCTTTTCGTTTCTCTTTGCCTGATTGATGAATGCAAGCTTGATACAAGTCGACATCTGCTCCAGCATGCGATAAATCTGCCCCCCGTCCACCCATGCCGCCGCCTATTCACCACCCCCGACCTGCGCCGCCATCATGTCCTCGCCCAATAGCCCACGGAGATCGACCGAGAGCTTCGAGTTCCTGTCGCCGAACCCGCCCCAGGGCTCCTTCCCGTTTCCCGCTTCAAACCATGACTGGACCAACAGGCCCAGCTCCACAGGCGGGCGCTACAAGCCGCGACGTGGCTCAACGGCGTCCTCGATACACTCGGTCGGTGGCTCGCTCGACAGCGGCTTCAAGAGCACCATGGGCGCGGTGAGAGAGCAGAGCAACAATGCCATCTCCACGCTGCTCACGCCGCCCATCATGAGGACTGGCATGGTCCCTCATACCACTGCCACAGCCACTTCGGGCCACCGCCCGCCATCTACCAAGGACATACCACCCGTGACGCTCACAAACATACCCCACATCGAACCTTCTGCATTCAATCCTTACCTATCGCAAGTCGGCAGTCTGTACGAGGCTTTCCAGCGCGCAAAAGCCGAGGCCGAAGCCGAGTCCGCCCAGCCAGCAAGGGGAGGGTCAAAGAAGGATGATACTGAATCGCCAGCAGGGACACCCAACTTGGTAGGAACACCCTTTACTCCCAATGGGCCGCCGAAACCGAAGCGTCGAACGAGCGGATCCAAGCGCACCCTACCAGCTATTACCCCCCTTTCCACCATACCGAACATCTACTTCGATGACAACTTTCACCTAGAAAACCCGCGGACCTTTGACGTAGTGAGCGAGCGGTCCGAGGTGGTTCGGCCAGTCCGAACAGCAACCAGCGATGACCATGGCGCAAACGGTTCCTTGGACGTGCCACAACCTCCCGGGAGAAAAGCTCTAGCTACGAACGCCATTTTACAAGAGAAGTTGTCGTGGTACATGGACACGGTCGAGGTGCACTTGATCTCAGCCATATCTACGGCATCGACCTCCTTCTTCGCCGCACTCGGTTCTCTGCGCGAACTTCAGACGGAAGCATCAGATTCTGTCGCAAGAATAAAAGGACTTAGGGAGGATCTGAAGAGGCTGGACGAACAGATGGCAATAGGAGGCTTGAAGGTCGTTGAAATGAAGAGGCGCAGGGAGAACTTGAGGAGGCTGACCGACTCGGTTGACCAGCTGCAAGCTGTCATCGTTGGGTTGTCGCACTGTGACGAAGCCGTTGTTGATGGTCGTCTCGAGACTGCCATGACCCAGATAGAAGTCATTGAACGACTAATTACAGGCGCGCTGGACACGACTGATTCTCAGGGTACATCTTGGCTGGATTCTCGATTACCTCCGCAGTTGGTCGATCTACGACACCTCAGAGCACTAGACGGCGTATTCGAAAGCATCACCGAGCTCAAGTTCCGTGTGGGCAGAGGCTTCGAGGTACGCTTTGTCGACACCTTACTTACGGATCTGCGAGAGCATGTCAAACGAGTTCCGACTCACGATACGCTGGAACGATGGACTGCTGCATCGCAAAAGGCACGAGGATCCAACCAAAAACCGAAGACGACTTTGCCGGCCTATATGACGACCGACGAAAAGCTACGTGCAGAGCTACGAGCCAGCTTGTATGGCTTGAGCGGTGCGCAATTTACGAATCAAGCTAGTGCTACTTTCAGAGAAGCGATGATCAAGGAGATGAAAGTCATCATCCGGAAACACCTACCGAGCTCAACAGAGGATGATACTGGATCTATGGCTTCTGTATCCACAAGAGGTGGCCGAGGGACTAGTCAGCAAGACAAAAACTCTATTCTTGCTAGGAATCTACGCGCCATGGACCCTGAAGATGCTGAGGTATTTTTCGCCAATATCTTCACTGACATTGGAGAAGCGCTACGCCGTCTCAGTACGCTGATCAAAGTGCTTCTTGATGTTACCAGCGGCGTTACTACCCCTCCCGCCTCTGCTGGTGGGCTCCGATCTCCCCCACGAAGTCCATATATGCACAGCATCGATGATTACATGGGCAACGGTGTACCAGCTCCGAGTTCAAATGACCTGCAGATGGAGCTGATGCAGGCCTTAGACATGTCGAGCCTCCTGGGTCAGGCTGTTGATGCAGCGCAGACACAGATCACTAAGCTTCTCAAGGTCCGCTCTGAGGCCACAGCCAATCTTCCCTTGGAACGCTTCTTACGATACTTCCACATATGCAGGCTGTTTGCCGACGAGTGCGAAGCTGTCTCAGGACGCTCCGGTACCGCTCTCAAAGGTGTTGTCAATACTCATATCAATGACTTTGTGTCCAAGTTTGGCGATTTTGAGAAGCAAGAGCTTGTAAAGGCGATGGACTCGGATCGTTGGGAACCGAAGGACTTCGATGCACAGGATACTGAGGTCTTAGCACGCTTGTTGAAGGGTATGGAGAGCGACCCTGCAAGCTGGGCAGAGACTGGTGACCTCCTTCGAGACATCGAAAAGCCGACTACAAATGGCACATCAGCGCAAACCAACGGCACATCAGAAGACAAGCCCAAAGAAAAGAACAAGACCACTATTCCCGCCGTTGTCGATGAGGAAAAGTACACAATCTCCGAATCATCGACAGTCGTCCTGCGTGGCATTGAGCGCTTCGAAATTCTTGTTTCAGCCATGCCAAGTATGACTTCCGAAGTCTCCACTTCCCTTTGCGACTACATCAAACTCTTCAACTCACGATTATGCCAATTGATCCTAGGCGCTGGCGCCATGCAGTCTGCAGGCTTGAAGAACATCAACACCAAACATCTTGCCATTGCCTCTCAGACATTATCATTCATTATCGCTATTCTACCCTATATCCGCGAATGCTTCCGACGGCGCACCGCATCCGCTTCCAATAAGTCTTCTATTGGTGAATTTGACAACGTCAAGCGCCTACTGTATGACCAGCAAAATCAGATCCATGAGAAACTGACAGGCATCTTATCTGGAAGAGCAAAAGTCCACATGCGCAGTCTCAAGAAGGTGGAGTGGGATACTGATGCCGAGGTCAACAAAGATGTCAGTCCTAGTATGGAGAGCTTGACCAAGGACACCGTGACCATGCACAAGGTTATCAACAAGTACTTGAGCGAGATTCAAGTCCGCATGATAATGGGTCCTGTATTTGAGAGTTACAGGGAGGAGGTTGGCAATGTCATCAAAGAGGCGGCAGTCAAGACGCCTGGTGGCAAAGCACGGTATGTCATCAGGATGAACCCGTTGTATGTGTAATGGCTAACGGATTTCTAGATTGCTACGCGAGGCGAAGTTGTTCGATGCAAAGCTTGGACCTATTGACGGCGCCGGTAACGTTGGCTCTCATCTTATCGGCCTCGTGGTCAGCAAGACAGTGGCGCAGCCCAAAGCTGAATCCAAGGCGGAGCCAAAACAAGAATCCGAAGCCAAGAAGAGTGAGGAAAAGACGCAGAACATCGAAACAGAAGCAGACAAGTCAAGTACAGAAGCGACTTGAGGTAACACAGCATTCTAGGCCCGTTTTCAGTCGGAGCGGATACATGTCGACGTATACGCTAGGCAATGCCACTACTATCTACATCTACCGGTTGTTAGGTGTCCACGAAAGATGTTTTGCTCTTCCACAAACTTTCTACACCAATTCTGGACTACCTACGCATTCACACGTAGAGAGTTTCATTCCGACTTTGCGCATACCCACAAGCATGTCACTCGCCATGTACCAACGTATCACCGTCACCCAGCAAGGCGTTTTGGAGTAATAGAACAACTGAGAGGATGTCATGGGGCAAAGCGCCGTTGGATAACGACCTACGAGACGGGAAGGAAGTACGAGATAATGTTGCTATACCATTTCCAAGAATCACGATATCTTCAAGGTCCTCAAAGGAAGTGTGGACTCTCTGTCCATACTTCACTCGATGTGTGTCCTCTTTTCTTTCGTTCCTCATCTTCACGTGCTTTGGCGTTCTGTATAACCCTTGTGGTGGCCATCTTCTCTGCACATCTGTCTGTTATAACCACCGTGGCTTCGTCACTGATACTGATGACAGCCATAACATCCTCATTCGACGCCATTTTCGTATTGTAGTCACGTCCATCTGAACGCTGCTTCCTATTCCCTTCTACGGCTTCTCTCTCCGCCAACTTCCTGGTCTCTATCACGGTGTCCAGACATGCTTGTTCATCCGCTTCGGATTTCAAGTTTGGTTCACACACTCCCTCGCATTCTTCGTAATCGTGCACGTGCGCGTGCAAAGCTAGATGGGCATCCATTTCTGCTTGTGAAATGCCAAGTTTGACATGTAACGGTATGTTTGTCCAAGTTGCTGTGATGTTTGTGTTGTTAATGGGTCGGCGCTGGGGATACATTGGAAACTGAGAAGGGATAGGGAGAAGGCAAGGAGGAAATGCCTGTCCGTTCGTAAGATGATTGAGAGGAAAACATGTTAGGATGTTATGCGTTGGCTACAACTTGTGACATATAAGTCAGTGTCACCAGCGACTCTTCACGGTTCCTTTATCAATCCTCATTTGCATTCAATTATTGACACGGATTGTCTTCTCCAGCTTCCTCTGCGAGAAGCAATGAAGCGCTGCTTTTGTGTGATTGACATATATATTCATCAGCTCGTTGTTGCGCAACTTGGAAAACTTCATCCTCCATGTACCACTTTTCTTCGCTGCTAGCCACTGTTTGCACCTTAGCTGCTAAACGAGTCCCATCCTTGCAGAGGTCGTAGCAACTGTAGTCTCCCTCAGACGCACCAGTAGCTCTTGCCGCCATGGGCCCAATGGGACTTGTCGCCCGGGAGTTCCATTGGGGGCGTAGCCGGACCCCAGTATCCTATCAAGCTGCCTTGGCATTGAGATTCTAAAAAACTCATTAGTGATTCTATTTTTCTTAAGGCTACACCGCGTCGAAAGCGGTTGTATTAGGGAAACAGGAAATGACCGCCACACTTACCATCAAAGACCATACAAACTCCACAGTGGTAGTTGGTGAACCGTTCCATTTCCTCGCCATGCTCTGTCTCGGCGCAGAGTAACCCTCCGGTCGAATATACAAATTCGGATCCAGGCCTGTTTGCAGGTTTGTACTCGCCACACATTCTCTGTTTTGGGGTGGTAGCAGACACCTTGACAGTGTCAAAGGAAGGCTGAGAGCGAGCGTAGGCGACGGCTACTGCGACATCAGCATCGTATGTCGTAGAGCCGGGAACGGGAACGGTGAGCGGAGAGCGTAGCTCGGAGCCTGTAGGAGCCGCTACGACATAGATGGCAAAGACGCTGGAGAGGATTAGATTGAGGATACCCATTGCGAGTATGCAAGGGAAGTAGTTGTTCAGAATTTTGAGTAGGTGGACTGAGTAAGAAGTGGCAGGATGAGCCTGGAGGAAGTAATTTTTTTGACTCTTTGTCAGTAGCACAGAGACGGTTGCGGCGAGGCTGGTGAGGGGGCGTGACACAACATGAGGCGAAGCCAACAAAGAGGAGTCATTGTACACTTGATCCTTCACTTGCCACGTGCACTAGGAGACCTCGAAAGTGTTCATCGTACGAACTTTGCTGGGGAACAATTCTAACTGTATGTGAGCCATGTACTTTCACCGTCCAAGGTAAACGAATAACCGGAAGTCAAACAGGAAGTAGTAGCGAAAAACCAAAAAAGATTGACTATTCTTCCAAGCATTCACGACTATCGTGTTGAATTTGTCATTTCTCTGCTGTAATGTTCCCGCAGACAAACGTTAGGTTACTTCCACGTTGCATCAGAGGTGTTTGTTCATTCATGAGCGGGGGCGACCCCAAGATCTTGTATTGTTATCAAATGAGCGACTTAGAAGGTAGGAAATAACACCCGCAAGACAAGACCGGAGTGTTGGACCCGACTGATCTCACAAATTCTCTGCGACTCTCGATGCTTCTACCTTTATCATCGGTCCCATGATTTGAAGCCGCTTCTATTTTTCGCTTTCGCATCAATCGCGAATTTAACATTCGACGATACGAGGCTACCTAGATGGTAACCCAAGAGCGGATGGCCAAGTTCTGGCACCCTGGGGCCTGTCCGGGCTTGGTATCGACAAAGTTTCCGCTCGTAGTCGAAGTAAGCTGAGAGCAAGGCAGGTTGAAGAATCTCACTTTGTGTATATTAGCGAATCACTCCTGCGTGCTATGATGTATCACGTACCGGTTCTGCTGAAGTTGTTGACATCGAAGAAGGTGCTAGGGAACGGCCCAACCGTCAGATCCTGGCATCCAGCAAGTCCCACAGTATCGGACTGAAGGAAGACAGTATCCTCGGCCCATGGAGAGGGACCGCAGCCGCCGTCCCGATAGAAGCGGGCGTAGACGCGAGCAGCACCTTCAAGTTGGCGTTTCTCCTGTAGTTCGATGGGGGTGGCGCTCACTGTGAGCGCAGTGGCGAGAAGAGTGGTGAGGATGGTGAGCTGCATGGCTGGAATTTGGAAGTAGAGGATTTTTGATACAGATGAATGGGGAGATAAGGTGATGAGATGAGATGGTAAGATGAGAGAAGACGAGTAGGTGTGCAATGCTTGCTTTATATGTCTCGCTGGGGTTCTTGTGCTATCACATAGTTATCGATTCATAGGTATAAGCACCGTTGACGTTACGTATTGCATTGCTACACCGATTCCGCTATCGAGCTCGATTCTGATCGCGCAGTTGGTGGCTTGCATCTTCTCACATGAGCTTGGTCTGATATGGTACGAATGATGCTTTGTGAGAAGTTCTTATTGAGCAACTAGGGCCTTCTAGGAATATTCTATAAGCTGAGAGGCGATACAACACGAAGGAGAGTGCACTGTTGGCTGGTGGTTGGTGGATCTATACGAGGCAGCGACAAAAAAATCCACCTGCGTGGACTGAATCTTCATGTCATGTTTTAAAGACGGCCTTCTAAGCCTCTCGATCTTGCAGGTAAGCTGAAATGCTGTGCATGCATACTCCCTCACGTGCCGAGAGACAGCATCGATAGGTTGTAATCCGCCCACTGCAAGCTGACAGGTCTTTTGAGTTTGCCTAACAGGAGTTACAAATTGAACTCCGAAGAATTGGCCAGCTTTCAAGAGTCAGAAGAAGTCAAGCACTTATGTCGTATTTCGGCCAGTATGTCATCCAAATTGTTGTAGTTTTGCATGCTGGGTTGCCCCGCGTAATTGTATTCTGCTATAAACGAGTGACTAGAAGAATCTAGGATATGTAAGTTACTTCCCGCACCAGCCCCACCGTAATGAGAGTCGGAGTTTTGGTCCCGACTCAAATCACATCATACTGCCACCCAACAAAGCTATTCTCATTCCCTTCGCTGACTGATTCCTCATCATACCAACTTTTCTACAAAGTGACATAAGACTTGAGTGTCAGCGTCTGGCAACCAACCGAACCAGGCGTGATATCGATATGATGTCCGCTGTCGACAGTGGTAAGTTGAGAGCAAGGGAGGTCGTAGAAACGAACTAAATGTCACTGGTTAGTTTCCCATACCCGAATCTCGTTGGCATACTGTAAGAACATACTTGTTCTGGTAAGGCTCCCAGTCTCGTTGAAGTAAGTGCTGGGGAAGTTGAAGCTTGAAGGCAGGTTCATGCACGTGCTGAGGCCGGTGGCGGTGGTGTTCTGGAGTGGGTCGTAGTCATCGCCGTACGAGCTTCCGTCGCGGCCACATCCAGTGTCGCGATAGACTAGAGATTGATGTGAAGGTTAGTCATGTCCTTGAATGGCTTTCGCACATGCAGAGGTATCACGTACAAGTGGCGCGAACATGCGGAATTTCCTGGCGAACCTCAATGCTGTTGGCAGGCGCGGCAGTAGCGGTCAGGGCCATGGAGGCAAGAAAGGTGGCAAGGGTTGCAAACTGCATCTTGGCGATCGGGATATTGAAACGTAATAGTATTGTTGGTCGAGTGTATGAATAAATGTAGCAAGGTTGGCATCTCTTCTTTGGAATTGAACTCTGCTTTATAGCAGAAGGGCTATGCCTCGGATATACTCAGCATTTCACCGTTACCGTAAATTTTGTGATGCATAGCAAAGGCTCTTTTTCCCTATGAAATGCTACAGAAGTTCTGGGCTTGGATTATTTCCAACCTTTCCAGTCGGTGGCGTATTTTCTTTGGCGGTATGATATACGTCAGTCCATGGTGGAAGACCTTGCTAATGTCTTTATGGAAGTGAGATAAGCCGCCAAACAACAGGACTTCGTCGAGTTGAGAAAGTGATGTTGTTGATTGCTCACCCGATCGAGCGTGAAACCGCTTTTGCTATCGCACGGGTACATAAAAGATGACGTTATAGCTCGTATATGAGCGCGTGCTAGTAAAACTCCTACGCTTACGAGCTCTTTCCTCTCCTGTTCTGCTGACTTATGTCTATGCTTGAAAAGCGGCAAACATCGGCTGTGAATAGCCAACGCTCTACTTGCTTCCCGACCTGATGCTTAAAGCCGCCATGGAGACATAACTCATCATTTACAGCTGGCACTCAGGTACTGCAGGTGAGTTCATCTGGTGCTCCATAAGGTCTGATGAGTGGCCATCTTCTCGCGATTGACTAGCGTAGGACACATAAGAAAATGGACCGTGCAAACCGAAGCGGAGCTCACCGGCAAGGTCTGCCAGTACGAAGCGATTGTAAATGGTCAGCGTTGGTGGTGGTAAGTTATGGCCGAGAGACGTCGCAGAGATTACTGGCTCGTGTAGCTGTATCTAGCGAGTAATAGGTCTGACCAGCATCCGGGTTGCGGCCTGGTAAGTCACCCGCCATCCGTTGTAAGCTGACGGATGGCGCTGCTGACCCCATGGCCGACCAACAGTAGCCCATCAGCAACGACCAGAGATGGGCCTGAAACGACAGTAAATTGACGTATGAGCGGCCCGTTCCACCGTTTGTTTCCAGGTCGGCGTTTCCCAAAGCAATACTCGCTTACTTTCGTTGTTGGTTGACGCTGTGTCGATCTTCATGCTTATGGAATGGTTTCTAAGAGCCGCGGATGAGGGGCTTGGCGTTGTTTGTATACCAGGATGTTCGTTCATCTAGTTGGTACCATATGTCCATCGAGCTCGACGCTAAAGATAGCAATCTTCGGCAACGGCTTGTTCTTTACTTGCTCGAAGGTCATTGTTCTTGCCTTCACTGACCCAGCGCTTCCCAATTTATTCCGGGAGTCGCTCAACATCCTGTTGACGCTATCTTCTGCTGCTTCAGCATAAATGAAAGCGCTTGAGATTCCCACACGATTAGCGGATCTCAATTGCCGAACTGGCACTGGTTTACGAGTGACGATCTTTACATCAGCCTCTTTCTGAAACTCTCTGTGTGAGGCAGCCTGTGGGGCACTGGCCGTGCGCGTATGGTGCCCAATTTGACGTTTGACATGTTCCGTATGAGCTAGAGGTGTACCATGCTTGATGGCATAAGCACCCCCTCTAGGGCTAGCGCTCTTGCTCTCAACGATGCTGCTCGAAAACCGGTCGTTTCGACCTTTCAACTCCTCAGATCCATGTCGCGAACTAGATCTTGAGTTGCTTAGACGAGCTGGACGAGTAAGAAATACAGAGGAGCGCGAGTATTCACTTTGGTAAGATAACCCAGTGCTGTAAGAACGAGGACGCGAGTGTGTCGACAGTGGAACTGAAGTAGGACCTTCGGGATGTATGGCGCGCCATGTAGACATTGGATACTGTGCTGGTACGGACAAAGGTACAGACTCAGGGATTCGCGTACTACCAGACAACCGAGGCGGACGTGTCAAGAAACCACGGTTCATGGACGAATGGGATGAGCGATCTGAAGTATAGGCTGACGAGTTGCGCTGTGCCGCTATGTAAGCAGGAGGTATGGGTGGCGGCGCATAAGGCGAAGTAAAAATCCTGGAGTCCGATGAGCGAACTCGAGAAGGAGCTGAAACGATTGGTTGTGCCAGACCTTTACTTCGGTTGACCGTTTCGAATGACCTGCTCCTGTGTGTCGATACAGACCTAGGTCGGTCATCAATACGTTTCTCCAATGTCCATGTTAGATTTCTAGTTAGAGGTTGCCCAAAGGAAGGATGTGGCGAACGCGATATATCTGCAGGCTTTTGATAGCCATGCCTAAATAGATGAGCCTCGAAGGGACGATTGACAACGGCAAGTACTCCAAAAAGCACACATGACGTAACTCTAGTGACACAATTAAATCTTGCACAAGCTTAAGGAACAGTTTTCGACATACAGCGATATGGCGGCAAACGCGATGCCAATACGGCTTCCCAAGCAAGTAGAACCGAATTCCCAACCTTCAAGTCCGGGTGCCTCATGTAAGCAAACAGGTCTTCTGGCGACAATTATCATGTTCCATCCCGTCGTCAGCAGCCACAAGACGCATAGCGAAATCACTAGGCGAATGGCAACGTAGGAAGTCTTCTTGACAGCTGAAGTGTGTCGCTGTTGCTGCTCCCATGTCTTTTGTTTGAGGGAAAAAACTGTATGTATGAACGTGTATGCGATTGTCGTGAGAGCCTGTGAGATCCAGTGAGTGTTGTTCTTTGCTGCAAGACTCCAAGCACATACTGAAGTTAACGTCAAGACCACGGGCGCAACGTTTGTTATATCCTGCGGATCCGATATTATCTGGTAGAGTGAAGTGACAAGACATATGATGGCACTCCAGAGCAACACATTAAGAAGGAGGGTAATGCAGATGAGAGTGACTTTTCGGCGCGGAATCCTGAGGCTGGTTTTGACCGTTTTGGTTTCTGAACTGGTGAGCGGTTGTTCAGCATCGCTGTGGCTGTAGTGCGATGCAGCCATGCAGTGAGTGATGACTCGCAAGCGGAAGAAAGGCGGTATTCTTATCGCAAGCACAACAACGGGACATTGAGGAAAGTGTGGCTAGGGCATAGCCGGGTATAGAACGGCCTAATAAGAAGCAATGACGATTGTGGTTTTCAAGAAGTTCTTGGATAGAGCCTGAACGTCTCATACAGGCGACGTCTCAGAGGCAACGCTACCTGCCTTGAGCGGGTGGTCTGTTCGCACGTACGGCTCTTTCCTGATTTTAACTGTCTTTGTTACATTATGTGAAAACTCTGTGTAGCGAACAGACGTTACATATGGGTGCCTTCGTTGGCGTGAGGGTTCTCACACTCATCCATGCACAGGCGACAATCGAAGAAATGTGCAACATTTCAGTCCCGCTCAATGGCAGCACGTCTGCCAGTCGTATACTATGGGAGTATTCTTCATGTACGTGATCAAGCGGTGGGAACCAGCTCGTTGTCACAGGGCACCTTCACTGCACACGCAATGCATTCATGCAAAAGCGCTAATGAAGGATGGGTCCCCCAGATAAATTGCCCGCATAATAGCACCGGCAATGCAAGCCAAGAAACGGGATCCGGCAACTTTGCGACAAAGTCTCGGGTTTCTTGTTGTATGTGCATCGGCAACGATGTGTGCAGATTCGATGCGGTGCCGTCGGCTGTGACTGTCGATCATACTATGATAGAGCTAGTGCAAACAAGAGGACGTATGGTGCTCGGCGCTGGTGTTTCGGCGTTTTGGGGCTCGGAAGGACGTGTTCCGTGTATGCCTAAGGTTGAGGTAGAATTCCGCACTCAAAGGAACAAGAGTAGAACGAGGAGGAGGATCAGGACGAAAATGAGGACGCCGATACAGCAACTGGACCAGGAATCTAGGAAAGTCGGTCAACGACGCCCGGTACACGGATAGCACGAATCTTACCTTCGTTTTGTTTGATGACCCAGCCGACCTTTTTGAGACCTGTTTGAAGTTTACCACCGACTCTGTCTGCCACGTTGTCGACATCGGTGAGCAGTTCGCCCTGCTCCTCAAGCTCGCGACCCATGTCATCGGCTTGCTGTCGCAGGTTGCCGACAGTACGGAAGACGCCGTCAAGAGCCTCGTCCTGCTCGTGCATCATCTCCATTTGTCTTTCCTGCTCGAACGCCGCGTAGTTGTCCTCATCCTCGAAGGAATCCGGGTCGGGCAGGACGTCGCCATTGGCCGCGACCTTGCCTTTGTTCTTCGCGTGTTGGACCGTCTGCTGCAGTTCCTCGCGCATGTTCTCGATCTCATAGCCAACATCTTTGACCAGCGTTCTCCGTCGCTCGACTTCATCAATCTCCAGGCCGAAGCGATAGGGGTCGTGTTCCACGGCCTTGACGCTCTCGACTAGGTCCTCGAGGTCCTGACTAAGGTCTTGGAGCGTCTGTTCAAGTTCGCTGCGCGCTTCCCGAAGCTCGGGACTGTTTGCCGATGAGGCCGAGGAACGGATACGCAGATACGACTTGAAGAGCGGTCGCGCCGTGTTGAGGGCAGACAATACGTCTCTATAGCACGTGTCAATGGAGATGCCCAAACCGCGAATGGAGCCGTCTTACGCCTGCACCTGGAGGAAAGGATCCTCGTCGTTCTGTGATGACATCATCTTGCACTGTGCGACACCGATTGTCCCTCCAGAGTATAGCCGTGAAGCAAGATGGCGGTCGATGAAGCCTGGGTGAAGGTGTCGGAGCGTGTCGATACGCTGTCCCGTACAAGCGATGACGCGCCTCAACACCTCGGCACGGACCCACCTTCCCAAAAAAATCACCCACAATGAGCACCCAACTCCACCACACTTTCTCGATGGCGCACTCACCAAGATCGCGGATACGCAACAATACCGCCCTCCGCATAAGAGAGATTGGATGACGCAATGGGTCCGGACACGCCTCTTCCCCTTTCCCCCGACTTCACCAATACTGAAGAATACATCGAGTCATTGCTGCACTTGACGACTTCCTCATGGCTGCTCCAGACACTATGTGGAGGTGTCCATATATTGGACTTCTACACCAGGTCACCTAGTCTCTATTCGCACATCTTGCCACAGTCATGGCGAGAATGGTTCAAAACGCGAGATATCATGGACATTTTGGACCTCTTGATGAGGGAAGATCTCAGTCAGTTCAATCCGGAAGGACAGGTTAACGACAAAACCTGGCGGAATGGTCCTGCACCGCCTGAAGAACTGCTACAGTACATCCGCACTGTACGGAAACATCTGTTGGCTCGTGACTTCCCTCCACCCAATTCCGGCCTTGAGCCTCAAAAACCTGCTATATCTCGTCACATCGCAACTGGTATGAAGGTCAAGAAAGTGCACGAAGTTGATAACTTTGCGCGCTATATTGACAGACTCACCTCCGAGATAGCGCAGTCTGATAAGAAACCGATTACCCATCTTGTGGATTTCGGCTCAGGTCAGAACTACCTTGGACGCGCACTCGCTGCACCTCCTTACTCTAAGCATATCGTCGCTGTAGAAAGTAAACAGCACAACATCGAAGGAGCAAAGAACATGGACATCTTGGCCAAATTGGTAGCAAAACCCACGGTCATGAGGAACAAGAAGGAGTATCGCGCGAAGATGGGCAAAGTGAAAAAGGGCAAAGAGGCCAAGGAAGATGCGTCCACGGCACAACCTGATGTGCCAAGTCCATCCGATGCCAAGGAGGATGAATCGGGGACAAACAAACACAACCAGGAAGCCCCATCTGGTTCAGCCACCCAGAACACTGATCTAGCGTCACCACTTCAAAACGGTGTGAGCTGCGATGAGGATGGCTGTGTACTACACCAAGTCTCTCAGAATGTCCCAAAACCTGCACCTGCTGAAATTTCTGCCGAGGCCAGCGGGTTTACAGATCGAACCCCGGCTACGAAGACTTCTACGCTACAGATATACAATGAAGGTCATGGTAGCGTACAGTATGTCGAGCACATGATCAAGGATGGCGATCTGACACCCGTCATCGACCAAGTCCTGGACAGCTCACGTGTACCCGAGGAGATTGTGAGCTCGGAGACTTCTGTGGTTGCTGAAGCTACCAACTTGAACGCTGTACCGAAACCGAAGGACGTAAACGCGATGGTAATCTCACTGCACTCATGTGGCAACCTCGTTCATTATGGGCTACGCTCCATGCTTCTCAACTCACATATCTCCGCAGTAGCAATGGTAGGATGTTGCTACAATCTGCTCACAGAACGCCTCGGCCCTCCTACCTACAAGCTACCTACGCTCCGTCCTAATCACCCACGCCTGGAGTCTACTTCCAAAGCCTTCGATCCACAGGGATTTCCCATGTCCGAGAGACTTGCAAACTACCCCCTACCACATACGCCTCTGGAATCTTTTCATGATGACTCGAAAGCAGACGGTGAACAAGTCAAACAACCAACAGGTGTACGGCTCAATATCACAGCACGCATGATGGCTGTGCAAGCACCTTTCAACTGGGGTGTGACCGACTCAGAACTGTTCTTCACCCGCCATTTCTATCGAGCCCTGCTTCAGCGTATCTTCCTAGATCGTGGCGTGGTCTCTGCACCTTTAGACGAACAAGGTCTCGTTGGCGGGGCGGTCTCAGCTAACGGTCACACCTCTCAGGTGAACTGGACACCACCAAATGGCCGCGGTCCTGGCCTCTCGTCTGACGGTAAAACTACGCCACTTACCATCGGTACCCTGCGCAAATTTGCCTATAGCGATTTCGTCTCCTACGTCCGCGCCGCACTAGCAAAACTCACCGCTGAGAACTCTTTCTGCGAGGTTGATCCAAACTTTATCAAAGAAAAGATGGATGGGTTGACAGATGACGATATCAGAGACTACGAAGTGAGCTATGCCGAGAGGAAAAAGGAACTAAGTGTTATGTGGAGTTTGATGGCCTTCAGTGCCGGCGTAGTGGAAGCTGTTGTGGTCACGGACCGATACCTGTGGCTCAAGGAGCAGGAAGAAGTCGAACACGCGTGGGTTGAGCCGGTATTCGAGTACAAGTATAGTCCACGCAACCTTGTTGTCGTGGGCATCAAGAAGTAAAGCGGTGTATCCAGCTTTCGCCAATGGCATAGCAGGATCTATGGAAAGGTTCGAACAACCTGATCATATTGAGTCAATCATGAATTCATTGCTAACCTCATCCATTGACATGTATCCTGCGATTGTTATACCCCCTGCCCTGGCCGAAACCTCAATGCATAACAACTACTGCCTGCTTCTCGTCTGCACACCAACGAGCGATGCGCCTTAGGCATACAAGGCGTCCATAGATCCTACATGTTACATCCAAGGCATCCAAGCCGACCGGACAATTCGGCGCGTCTTCACTCCACAAAATCTTTCGGCGCGCCACGGCAGGCTATTACCTCACCGGTATGATGAGGCTGTGTGGATGGAACGATTGAGGCGTCCAGCCAATCTCGTTTCGTCACCGGATCAAGCGTCTTCAGTGGGCGTCCCTAATGCTTGGCACAGAAGGCGCGCGCACAGTGGAGGAAAAGGTTCGCTACCCAGAACGGTCAAGCAGTACAAGCTGTGACATTGACGTTCAGCCTCACGGACCGTTACCGACGGAAGTACAAATCAGAGAAGCATGGAACGTCAAAATCGGGGTTCTAATTTCGAAGTGCAGCGCTGCACAATAGCGACGCTACAGGATTTAGCCGCTACGAAGGAGCACGCTTGTCCCGCGTACCCGTGCATCTCCACTTATATCACATGTTCTTCAATCCGATTTGCCTACCATGCCAAAACAGCCACAACGCCAGCCTACTTTGAGCGACATGTACCAGGCATGGGATACGCAGGGCCCTTATAGCCAAGACTCTAAACAGAGCGCGGCAGACGTGTACGAGTCGAGAGGCGTTTTTAGGCAGCGGCTGCTGCGGGTTACGGCCTTGACAGGTAACAAGGCTGAGCTACGTGCATTGTGATTAAGATGGCAATGGTGCCCATGTGTGGAAGCTACTTTCTAGTTCCATCGAAGTTGGTTTGAGAGATTTGGGCTGAGGAACGTGTATCACGAGACCGGAGAGGCACTCTTCGATCGATTTTCGTCCTATAGAGGCGCTCATTCCAAGACGAATCCACAAAACTCTAACGCAAGCGGAGGGCACGAAGATTTACGACTAGGATTGACGTTCGAAGACATTGTTGTGTTCAGAAAGAGAAGGATCAAACACAAAACTAGACACCTTCTTTACTACTCAACAAGTCACGTCCACAACCCTCGTACGGGTGACGCCATTCGTACCGCACCGTTCTATATCTAGTTCCACGGTTTTGGACAATCCAACGTATAGTCTGCACGCCCCCTAGACCATGAGGTCCTTCATAGCGCTCTCAGCGCTCCTAGCAGTTGCAACAGCACAATCGGTCACAGCCACAGACGCCTCACAGTCATTTGATATCGTGCCAACGTCGACACCCACACCATCATCAATAGACGACATTGACCTTGACCCGACAACCACAGAGAATGTTTCTGGACCGATAGAGACGAGCCAGGCTTGTGGAGACATAGCCGAGCTAGTGGCGGATGACTTCTCAGAGTTCCCAGTCGTGGATGCCGCACTAGCGTACGCATGCCTCAAGTCACTGCCTTTCTACTCAACCTCCGCATCATCGACAGTGGATGAGATCAAGAAGATGGTGGAGTTTCAATCGACGCTCAACTACCTCAAAGACCCACCGAAGGGATGGCCGAATGACGCTGTCGATATCGTTGCCGGCTTAGACAGCATCAAAAGCAACGTCGAATCCGGACAATACAGCAATGAATTCGACTTTGAAAATGACATTGCATCTTTGATGGTGAAGGCGCACGATGGGCATCTCGGCTGGAACGGTATGGCATATGCAGGAGTCTTCAGATGGCGAAGAAGCAGCGCTTTTGCTTTGGTCTCAGCGTCAAGAGATGGGAGCGAGATGCCCCGAATCTGGGCTTTGGAGGACTTCAATGGCACTGTTGATTATGAACCTTCGCCGGTCACACAAATCGACGGAAGGGACGTTGTACAGTTCTTGACGGACGAGGCGAACTTGAACTCTTACCACGATCCGGATACTCGGTTCAATGCCATGTTCTTTTCACAGGCCGCAGAAAACTATGGGTACTTTACCAGTCCAAGGTTTTACCCTGGTTCTACGACGAACATTACTTTCGAGAACGGAACAACCGATACGTATAGCAATGGTGCCATCGTTGTGGATCCTCAGACTTGGAGCTATGTCAGCGATCCTGAGTCATTTTATGATACATACATTAGACCTGAGACGAGCTCATTTAGGGTCAAGAAGAGGGATCCTACTAAACTACCCATGCATTTGGAGAACCCGCGCGACTATGAATTCAGGGGTACATTTGCCCAACAACACGGCTCAGTGCCATTGCTTTACCCAGATCCGGTCGTTGCTCACTCGGCGGATCAGGTGCCTTTGGCCGGATTCTTCATCAATACCAATGCTGGCGAAATCGGTGTTCTTGTAGCGACGACATTCAATACCGAGGACGTTGCAGGTGCACAGGAATTCCAAGCCGTAATTCAGGAGTACATCTCGCAAGCCCAATCCCGTGGCGTGGAGAAACACATTATTGATATACGTGCCAATAATGGTGGCAAAGTACTCTCGGGGTATGATATGTACCTACAATTCTTCCCATCCCAGGAACCTCAGACACAGAACCGATATCGCGGACACCGAGCCAGCGAGGTCTACGGCGAGAGTATATCTAGCTTCAAGGAGATTAACCTCCTCAACGCCGAACTCTTCACGAGCCCCTTCAGCAACGACGCCTACCTCTCTTCCACTGGCGAAGACTTCCCAGACTGGAAAGCCATGTATCCACCCGAGCGATTCAACAACGACAAGTTCACCGCCCTACTCAAATACAACTTGAGTGATCCTCTGACAACAAGCAACGAGCGTACCGCCGTAGGAATCACCATGACAGGCTACAACTCGAGAAGCAACTTCACTACGGACCCCTTCCGCGCCGAGGACATCATTTTGCTAACTGACGGCGTCTGCGCCTCAACATGCTCCATCTTCACCGAACTCATGGTCCAACAGTCCGGCGTACGAAGCCTCGCTATTGGCGGCCGCCCTAGCCTTGGTCCCATGGTAGCCGTCGGTGGCACAAAAGGCACCTTGGTAATCCCTTCCCTCTACATGGAAGCCCTCTCCGAATACGTCACCTCGCAATTCGCGTCGTCTCGCTCCGAAGCAAACGACTGGGCCGAGTTCCTCCCATCAACTCCGCCCATCGCCGTAATCGATGCTAGCGTCAACTTCCAGGACAACATCCGTGCAGGCTTTGAGTCGGCGGGCGTGCCAACACAGTTTCTCAACGATACGGCGAGTTGTCGGATCTGGTACGAGCCTGAGGATTACTTCAACGTGACAAGGTTGTGGGAGAAGACGGCCAATGTGGCGTTTGGAAACAACGGAGGCATGGATGAGGGCGCTTGCGTGGCAGGAAGTGTAACGAACAAGGAACAGCAACAAGGAAAAGGAGATTCGAATCCGGAAAGTTCCGGAGATGGAAGTGCGCAAGGGGGTGATGATGATGAGGATGCGGCGAGTGGACTAAGAGTAGGCTGGGTTCACCTGCTTGTCTCTGTCGGCGCTGTCGCGCTGAGTTTCTGTTTGATGTAGATCGAGTAGTGATCGTTTATAGTAACATGCCTTTCTCCTTCACCATATGCGAACCTTTTGCTCATGTCTGCATGGCTCCGTACCGTTCTTCAATATCCTCTCGCGGAAATGTCGAAGCGGTATAAGTCAACCCGATTTACTTCATTTCATCCGCTAGAGACTATAAACATTAACTTGATGACCATAGGTGTCAAGCATCCTTCGCTCCTTCCTCTCTTTAGATTCTCAGGCCTGCTTTTCGAAGCCAACCCTTGACCCATGCCAATCCAACACCACATCACGGCCTCTGACCGCTGCCCAGCCAAGTTTGATTATTCCCCTGTCGTCATGACAAGAATCCGCGTTTCTAGCTAGGAGCATGCATCTCCCCTCTGCGGTCTGCAGTATGTATTGTTCGGGTTTGACAACCAGTTCGTCAACATCGTCATCGTCGTCCTCTTCGTTCTCTCCATCATTCTCTTCAGCTCCTCCTTCAAAATCCTCTCGCTCGACCCCAAATACCAGGTCAGGGAAGATGTTCAAAGCTCCACAATCAACATACAGCATCTCATTGCCATCTCTGGCTTGCTGTTCAGTACTGGTAGCCAGTAGCAAGACGTCCCAAATGCCTTTCGGAACATGGATATATGGTGTGCTTAGATCGAGAGTGGCGGATTCAGCAGGCATAGAGATCATACCGCTCTTTCTTATGCCGATACCGAGTAAAGGGAGTTGGGCGCCGAGAATGGGTTGGAGATGTAGTCGTTCCTGTTGCATCCAAATGAATCTATCGGCAGCCTGCGACCATGAATCTGATTCAGAAATGGTGTAGAAAGTGGCGGTGCCGGACTGTGAACTGTTGAGAGGGATGTTGACGAGTATGGTTTCTTGAATGGGTCCTCCGGCGCTATAGCTAGCCATTGAGTTTTGGAGGTGCTCGAGAGGCTTTAAGTCGAAGACAGGAGGAGAGTTGATGAAGGTGTAGTGAAGATCATGGTCTAGCTATTGGTTTGTTAGATTGGTCTAGAGTAACGTAGGGTCAATCTGAGCATACTGTAATGGGGATCACACGGCCAGACGCTGGCTTGGGGTCCAGCAAAGGCTTCTGCTGTTGTAGCGATGGGTCGAGGTACGCAGCCTCCACGAGAAGCGGCAAAGTTGTGAAGAGTATGTTTCGAAGCATTTTGGTGGTGGTGGAACTGTGAGCAGTTTTCGTGTACTCAAGCGTGAGCAGTCAAGAAGGACTCTTATCATCTCACACCTACGCAAGGATTCGCTTTGTCCGCGCCGCAATACACCGCGCCTCACCCGAGTATCTCATCATCTGGACCTATTGCGCGTTTGCATTGCTATTTATCGGGGTCGCGAACCTCGCGGTTGGGTGATTTACCCTTGTAGCGCCTGCAGTTCGCGTGTGGTTCGTCCGCTGCAATGAATGCGACCGGGGTTTACGTGGGGCGCGTTGCACCTGAAACTATAGATGGGCGCGACGACAACGAACGCATGTTAATTTCTTCTTATGTCATCCTAATGGCATATATTTGTGGGGTCCAAACGGGTTGGGGGGATAGATGCGTCTGTTGTGCTGACCAGAATAGTAACGCATCAAGAGCCAATGTGTGACATCTCTTCGGAGAACTCGCCGTTGTATGTTCACGTGAACCAATTTTCTCTCATGTCTGGATCGTAGTTGTTGTACTTGGGTTTCTTCATGAAGACGCGTCCACCTCTTTGTAACGATGAGTCCTTCCTGAGCAGGAGCGGCTTTGGACTAAAAAAGACGTCGTTGTCACACCAACACACTGGAAACGTGTCTCGTAGCAAGGAAGCAGGAAGAAGCAGCACGGCTGAAGAGGTTGGTCACCCACGGCATTAACGGGCAACAGTGGAAGCTTTACTTGTCGTCGCAGAACTCTTCGGTGTCATTGCTTGTTGCCGCAGATGAGCTGTGTGGAATGGGTGCCACAGGAAGTGCGATCAATACGGAACATCGAAAACGCATCATCTGTCGACTCACAAAACCTTTTGTTTGTGGAGGATCGGGATAGCCACGGTAATCTGTCGTGTTGAGAGAACGCTGGTGGACAAGAGCGACACGCGTCGGAAGCGACCAACCGGCCGGGCCATCTCCGCCGCGGGTGTCAACGTCGGGGCCCCAGCTGCGACAGCTGTCAACTCTCCAACCTCGAAACCAACCATGGTAAACCTCACAATTCGCCTATCGATGTCAACAATGTATATGCCCGAGTAGATGGACAGGCTGCTTTTTCTGCCTAAAGCTTCGCTTCGGATCTCCACGGCCCGCAACAAGTGCTGTCAGCGACCCGGCAAACATGCCGCCCAAGAGAATGGAGAACTAATCGTGGCATCACGATTGTAGCTGCAGCCTGTGCATGGCCGCAACTATGTCGTCAGCAAAGGCCCTTCCACGGTACTGATCCTTCCGCAGGGCTCTTCTGGAATGCGATGCTGGCCGTCATTTCCCTCTCGAGAGCCAAGCGTTCTGCCGTTTCATGAGCGCGCGCTCGCCTCCAGCGACGGTGAATTGACCTGCAACGAACGAACAAGTCTTGACTGTCTCAACGAGGCTGTGTAAAGCGGCGGGAAATCAACGGACGCGCAATTCACTCGCTATCAAGACGTCTACCAGGCATGCTCCTGCCAGTCATTGGCTTTGTTGCCCCTGACCAAGGCTCGGCGGGCTTCTGCTAATTCACGACTATGGACTTGGCTGCTTGGTCTCCGCGATTCCTGCGCGCATGCCAACACCCATCGACTTGGCGCGCAGCGGCGCCAGACAGACCATGAGGGTTGGCAAGTTCCACATGTAGCACTCGGGGGAACCAAGAAATTGCTCTGTTGCCGCTTCAAATAGTTTGACCATCCCGGCTTCTACCTCAACAGTTGCATGTTCTCTGTGTGAGATTTACCTTTCCTACTTTACCAGTCACTCGTTAGACTTCCAATCGCTCTTCTATTTGCCTTTTAATTCCACTTCTTCTCCAACTCCAGTCATGAAGGCCTGTGTCGTCTTCTCCGTGCTGGGTGCCGCTGTTGCCCCAGCATTCGCCAGTGTTGTCGCCCGTCAATCCAAGGGAAACCTACCACCAGTCACCGTTCGAGGCAACGCCTTCTTCGCCGGTGATGAGCGATTCTACGTCCGCGGTGTCGCCTACCAGCCAGGTTTGTTGTCACAAAACAATAACAACAGCAACACGATACTAATGCATCTTAGGTGGCGCGGCCGACGCTGCCGATCCGCTGCTCGACCTCGAGGGTCTCAAACGCGATGTTGAGAACTTCAAGTCGCTCGGCATCAACACCATCCGTATCTACACCATCGACAACTCTCAAAACCACGACGAGGGTATGAAGATGCTCGATGACGCCGGTATCTACTTGGCGCTCGATGCCAACACACCCGACTACTCTCTCAACCGAGAGAACGAGGACACTCTCCACCGTTCGTACAACGATGTTTACCTGCAATCTGTCTTTGCTACCATTGACGCGTTTGCCGACTACAACAACTTGCTCCTCTTCTTTTCCGGAAACGAGGTCATCAACGCGAGGAACAACACCAACGCTGCTCCTTACATCAAGGCCGTTACTCGTGACATGAAGCAGTACATCTCCAACAGGCACAACCGTGTCATTCCCGTCGGATACTCGGCTGCTGATGTTGCTGAGAACATCGAGGCCCAAGCCCTCTACTTCAACTGCGGTACTGATGACGAGCGCTCCGACTTCTTTGCCTTCAACGACTACTCGTGGTGCGACCCCTCGTCTTTCACCGAGTCTGGATGGGACGCCAAGGTCAGGACGTACAGCGACTACAGCAAGCCCATCTTCCTGTCTGAGTTTGGTTGCATCACCAACCAGCGCAACTGGGGTGAGATTGAGGCTTTGTACTCGACAAACATGACGGGTGTCTACTCTGGTGGTCTCGTCTACGAGTACACTGTCGAGCCTAACGGTTACGGTCTTGTCGAGGTCGGCAGCAACGGCGACATTGAGCCCAACGCGGACTTTGAGCGTCTTGCTGAGGCTTACAAGGCGACTGCTAACCCTCGTGGCGACGGTGGCTTCAGGGAGAACGGCGAGGCGTCTGAGTGCCCTGCTGAGTCTGATGAATGGCACGTCGAGGGTACCTCCCTCCCTGCCATCCCTGCCAACGCTGTCAAGTTCATGGACGAAGGTGCTGGTGAGGGACCCGGTCTCGAGGGTGATGGCTCGCACTTTGCTGGCGAACCCAGCGAGTCTACTGCTACCCCCGGATCTGGCAACCCCACCCGCTCGCCTACTCCCGGCTCCACTGGCAGCGCTGGCAACAACGAGGGTGCTGCTGCTGGTCTCGATGTGCCCCTTCGTTTCGTCGGCATGATCGCAGCCAGCGCTCTTTTCGGCGCTGTCCTTGTCTTCTAAGCGTAACGTGTGAGCATGCGTATCGAAAAGATGTAGAGCACTTGTTTTCTGGTTTCTGGAGTTTTTTTGACTGCCGTCGTCGGCATTACATATATACCTGATTCGTCATTGCAGGCGCAGGGCCTTTTGTATAGTAATACATATACGACAATAGCTCTTTTCCCAGTATCCGCTTGCTCGACGTGAATGCGGTGATTCTAATTGATGCTACGGACGTGAATGTGGTGGTGGTGGTGGTGAAAGTGAGGGCGTAGGCTAGCGGCGTTTTGGACCCTGGTTCTCGAAGGCAGCAATGGAAGCTTCCACGGTTGTGATTGTACAATTACCCAGTTTCTTTCATCGTCAACCATGAGCAAGCCTCTATAAAAGGTCCCAGACGCCCAAACCCTCCCGTCGCTTCCACGCCTGTTTTTCCGCTCAACAACGTATTACCCCGCCATGGACGACGCCCGCAAAGGCGACGCCGCGCTCAGCGCAAGCAAGCCCGAAGAAGCGATTGAGCACTACACCAAGGCTCTTTCAGTCAACCCCGCAGCCGTCAAGTACTACATCGGTCGCGCCACAGCCTACCAGCGTACTTCCAAATATGCCGAGTCCCTCAGCGACGCCGAACTCGCCGTCGTCTTCGCTAAGAAACGTGGCTCGCGCGAACTCATCAAGGACGCCCAATTCCGACGCGCCGTCGCCTTGTTCCACCTTGGAAAATATGCAGATGCCGAGTACTTGCTGAAGATTGTGAAGGGGCTTGATGAAAAGGACAAGATGCTGCCCATCTGGGAGGCCAAGGTCGCAACCAAGCTGAAGGATGTTCCGCAGGACGATGAGAAGAGGAGCATCACTATCAAGGAGACACCAGACGTCGACATGCCCAGTACTCCAGCACCTGCTGCACCCCCCAAGGCTTCAGAGCCCGCCTCGACCCCAGTCCAGGCCCCGAAGCCTGTTGCGCCGACCCCAAAAGACAAGATCAAGACTGACTGGTACCAGTCGCCTGAAGTTGTCACGCTTACTATCATGGCCAAAGGCATACCCAACGACAAACTGAGCGTCCAGTTCGAAGAACGATCCGTGTCCGTCTCGTTCCCCATCGTCGGCTCATCGTCAGAATACAGCTACAGCGCCGACCCTCTATACGAAAAGATCGACCCCTCGCAATCCAAATTCCGGGTCACGCCCACCAAGTTGGAGATTACAATGCGAAAGGCAACTACCGGTCTGAAATGGCATGACCTCGAGCACCCCGACGGCCACGTTACCACTACCCAAGCCCCCGATGCGACTCTCGCCGTCCGCACCACCAAGGACACAGCTCCTGCATACCCAACATCCTCCAAGTCAGGCGCAAAGAATTGGGACAAGGTGGTAGTCAATGATCTCGACGACAAAGACGAAATTGAAGGCGATGAGACATCACACTTTTTCAAGCAGCTGTACAGCGGCGCTACACCTGAGCAGCAGCGCGCCATGATGAAAAGCTACCAGGAAAGCGGTGGTACAGTGTTGAGTACCGACTGGAGCAACGTTGGCAACAAGACCGTGGTACCCGAACCACCTGAGGGCATGGAGGCGAAGAAATATTCTGGATAATATACGCCTCGCAGCCAAAGTACGAGTGTTTTCTTTCTTCGTTCTCATGATATGAAGCATAGCAAGGTGTTTTTGGGTAGGCAATGGGATTCATGACCACGTAGCGCACGTAGGATACGACATGGTATCATGTACTGGTATCTAAAATGTTTCTCTGAACAATTTTGCAGC